TGCTTACTAAAAAGGTGAGGTTAAAAGGAGGGGGAAAATGAACGCACTCCTGCGGGACAAGGAGCAGAAGAGCCAGATGGGGTCTGCGGGTCCTCTTCCCTGGGACTCTGAACAGGAGGGATAACTTGAGTAGGAAAAATTAAAAAAAAATCCCACTGGAAGAGCTATCTCATATTGTGCCTGTTGACCTAGATTCTTGCTCTGATGGAGTTATGATGATAAAAAAACCCATTACATATTACTTGGGTGTGTACTGGAGAAGGACCATAAGCTAGAAGCAGTTATTAGGTTTAGACGTGTATCTGGGTTACTTAAAGACTTTGGGAGCTGTTTAATCTTGAAGTGGAACATGTTATAGATTGTGTTTCCGTGTATACTAATACAGGGATTAAAGATGCTAAAGCCTCACAACCTAAAATGCTACATGAGTCTCCTTCAAGGCCCAGGCAGATCAACTTGTTTGGGCTCTCCAGGGAGAGGGAATAACAACTGGAGCTGCATGAGCTCAAGGTGACATAAAAAACAAGAACATTTTGGAGGCATATAAATTTGTTGGCCTAGCTGTAAATAATTTCCTCTCTTTACAGGAAGATTTCATCCCTGCACATATACCAAAAGAGGACAAGAAATGATTTTCCCAGGTAATAAATATTTTTGGAGGTGTTAAAAGCTTCTTAATTTGTCTAAGGAGGAAATGAAGCTTTTGTGAACTTTATCACCTAATAATTTGGGCATTGAATTACTTAAAGTTTGCTTCCCGGACCCTGACAGTTATCCTGCCCTGAGTAGGGATAAACAAATAACTGAAGAAAGGTAGGAAGAGTTGGATCAGCATTTAGGGTGAGAATTTTCTAAGTCACATTTCAATTTAAGAAAGACTTTATGGAAAAGATTAAATTGAGAACATGTTTCAAACATGCTTCTGATAAAGGGATTGATAAAAGTACAAATGAAATAAAAAGAAAAAAAAGTAAAAAAAAATTTGCTGCATGGTTTAAAATATTCATTAGATCACATAAGCCAAGTTTTTGCTTAACAAACTGAGATAAGATAGTAGTGCCACTGCACTATTAACTGTAGGGCCAGCACTGATACTTATGCTTGTTTCAGAAATATGAAACTTGGGTTCAATTCCTCCATCAGCCTGAGGGCATTTGAGTCCTATCCAGGAACTTGCTCAAGACATGATGAAGTATCTAATTTAAAAAATTTGTATTTTTCTATAAAACATTATTTATCAGCCCTTTTCTCATTGTGGAACATAGTGCAGGGAGTCTATAAGTTCTTTTTCTGGTTCAAGGAGTTTACCATCTTCATTTTCCAAGAGAACTCAGCATATTTTAATATTAAACAAAAAATCTTGACTTAAATAATTTCCTTGTGCATTAAGCTCGTTAAGAAGTATCAGGCTCTCAAATCCATTAATTTAATATGAGTAGTGTCGCCTGCAGTGACGCTGCTGAATTTATTGCCCAAAGATAACATTTAGATAAAGAGATCATTCCTTTACAAATGACTTCTGAAATAAACCCACTGCCCTTATAGAACCTAATTTAATTAATCTTCTCGACGAAGGCAGCAGTCAGTAGGAAGAATTTGATGTTGTTTAGCCCCACTCTTATGAATATTAATATTCAATAACATTATTCTTCTCTTCATGAATACTATAAATGTGCATTAGGGTTGAAGCTCTGAAAAGTAACCAGTAGTTGTTTTTGTTCCTCTCTTCTTGCAAGCAAAGAATCTTACTTTCCTTCATCTGATTTATGCAAAATTTTAACAATGGAGTTATGGTGGAACTCTTGTGTAAGGGAGAAGAGGATTAATGAATGTGGACCATGCCTGCCCTGAGCTGCACTTGGAGAACCCTGTGTGTCTGTATGTATGATTTGAGAATTAACATTTACAGCGCCTGACATTTTAAATTGTATAATTATGCTAGGATACATAAATAGAAGTACAGGTTTTGAGTCCCTGTGTGAACAGAATCTAATTTCACTATAAAAATCATGTAAGAAGCATTTCTTTAAAAGACCAGAATGAACCAACCTTTCTCTTTCCATGCACAATGAATTAGCATTAGCAAATCCATTAAAACAGTGTTAACCTGGGTGCAACAGGCAGTCAGACAAGTTCAGCTGCCATGGAAGTCTATACCTTGAAGGTGGACCCAGCCTCTACCCACACAAACAACTTTGCCATTTCTGTGCAAAGATTTACACCTTGGGATCTAGCAAGAGTAATAGAAAATATATTTCCAAACCACGCTGTGTGTGCACTCTCGTAGGATGAAGCAATGTTTTGAAAACTAAATTAATTCGATTCAAATCACATTAATAAATATGGAAAAGAGATGGGGCATTCACGTGACCCTTATAAAGAGCAATGTCCCTCAAGCAAAGGTTCATTAGGTTTTTGAGACTTTATTCAGTGTTTCCTGAAAATGTAGAGAGATGCAGGAATCACTGACCAGCATTTTCCTCCTTTCACTTGTAAAGTACTTTGTAAAAAAATAAAATTAAACCAAGTCTTTTGCTTGAAAGTACTCTCAAAAGGCATAAAGATGTCTAAAGCTGAGTCTGAAATGGTTCTGGGAAAGAAAGGAAAAGAGCTCAGAGAGTTTGCACTCAAATCTAAATGTTCGCTGCCTTTTTATCTTCTTTGTATAGTTCTCAAACAGCAGCTTTTACTTCATATTTGCCTTCAAGAGGGAGCAACTTTGTTGTGCTCTGGCTGTACAAGAGCTCTACAGGTAACTGAGCCCGCTATGGGCTGGATCTCTGTCTCCTTCCACGTGACATTGCATTTCAGGGTGTTTGGCTGAATATTTTCATTTTTCGTAATCATTCAGATAAATCGTGTTTCAGACAAGTTTCTATTCTTTAGACTGTGTTGTTGCAGTGTGGGTGAACGAAGGGAATTCACTTGATCTCTTTGCTAATTGTATCACAGCAAATTGATTCCAAAGACTTTACAATCACTCCCTCAGTGACACTAATAAGCATAAAGGGAGGAAATATCAGTGGGGTACTATGACAGATATAACACTAAACTACTTTTTCTAAACCTCTGGAGATAATTACTTCAAGCTCAATAAAGAGTCCTTGGTACATGTCCTCTTCACTTTTGTAGCAATATCTTAGATGATTTTTTGCTTTGTTATGGATTTAATTTTTTCCCCTAGAAATGCTGTATAATATTGTGGCTCTATATAGAATAATGGAATATTTTAACATTAAAATGTATGTTTATCTGCTTCATTTAAATGTAATTGATTTTTGGAGGAGGAAATACCATTTTTTGCAGTACCCTGTTTACATATGAGAATTCTCTGAAGCTTGGCAAGTTAATAATTTGTGCCAGCAGGCCTGTAATTGAGCACTAAAATTTATAGGAAGATCTAAGTTCAAATATTATCTATTAAAATATATTAAACAGTATATGTTAAAATATACAGAGCAGGCTGTATCTTCCATTGGATGTGTTGGAAGGTAAAACTGTTATGCTGTGAGCGTAGCAGGTACATGTGTTTCTGTGTTGCTGATTAGTACAAAATATGTGAGGTCTGACCTAGAACAATACTGCGGCTTAATTCTGTGTTTGTAGAGATTATGGTTTTCATGTCAAGACACTGTTCACATGATTGGGATATTTTCCAAAAGCTAGGAAATAATGAAAAATTATTTTATTAATCTGTTACACCTGTTGGGAGCAGTGCAACAGCTGCTGATCTGCAATTCAGTGAGAGATGAACAAAGCTGGTCTATTCACCTGCACAGCACAGATTAAAAATAATAAGGAAGTGTGAAGTTAAATAATGAATGAACATTCAAAGGTGAGAAGGTGAAAGATGAGCAGCAACACATTCTGGTGTTATGAGTTAAGTTAGAAATTCTAATCAGTCATTAAAATAAAAGGTAAAGATGGAAGGGTTTGCTGAGAGCAAAGGGTTAGTAAAACTTGAGCAGTGACTTCAAATACTAATAGAGGAACTGCAAACCTACACTTCCCAGATATGTTGCTTGCAGACTCACTTCAGAGTATAGCTATATGCAGATAAAAGCTATTCTAAAATAACATCATGGAAATATAGACTGTGAATTTATCTTTTAGAACAGAAGTCCTAATATTTAGGCAGACAGAGATGGAATAAAGCACAAACACTTGAAGCTAGATACAAAAGCAGGGTTTCTGCTATTCACCTGAAATTTTCCAGAGCAAGTGACTCCCACACAGACCCTGAGCTGGCTGAGGCAATTAGGCAAAATCTTTCCACTTCAAACCAGAACCCAGGGTGCTGATAAAATGCACGCCAAATAAACAAGGATTGTTTTCAAAAGCATTGGTGTGCCTTTTTGTCTCGGATGTGAATCTTAAAGAGCACTTGTGTTGCTTTTCACGTGGGAGTTTTGTGACTTGGACTGTAGCTGAGTTCTCCTATTCTGTGTAGAGCCCAGACAGGTCAGCTGGGGCACTTCCCATAGTCCCTGTTGAAGCCATTTTCTCTACCACACAGCAAAGGCAAATCTTAGCTGTCATTATACCAAAAGACATCACTTTGGCTAAAATTACACACTATTTCTTTGAAAATGCTTTTCAAGTTGCTTCAGGAGCACAACTCCCAAGACTATTTTTACTCTGCTTTTCATAAAAAAACAAAACAAAAAACCCAAACAAACCCAAAAACTGTACTGTAATACCCCATCCCACTTGGCAGGGGAAGGTTGCTTGATACACTCTGGGCTTTGTGCAGGAGATACAACAAAATTCTCAGGAGGTTTAACAACAAACTTTTACTTGCAAACTTTAAAACATTGAGGTAGAACAAGGCGCTTGGCAAATTTCAAAACAATGTCTAGACAAAGTAAGGCACTTCACAAACAGGCCATGAAGGCGGCCAGCACCATTTTGTGTCAGGCTATGGGGCTAGTCCACCATTTTGAGACAGGCCACAGGGTCACTCCACCATTTTGTGTCAGGCCATTAAGTCAGTCCTCCATTTTGTGAAAGGCTATGGGGTCAGTCACCGCCATTTTGTGGCAGGCCAGAGAATCACTCTGCCATTTTGTGGCAGGCCATGGGTCAATTGCTGCCATTTTGTGGCAGGCCATGTGGTTATTCCACCATTTTGTGGCAGGACATGGGGTCATTCACTGCCATTTTGTGATAGGTCATAGGATCACTCCACCATTTTGTGGCAGGCCATGAGGTCTTTCCACCATTTTGTGGCAGGCCATGAGGTCTTTCCACCATTTTGTGGCAGGCCATGGGGTCATTCCACCATTTTATGTCAGGCTACGTGTCAGTCTGCCATTTTGGGGCACATGTGTTTTTCAAGGGTTCTGTGTCTGCTTGTGTTTTCTCATGAGGTGAGTCCATTCTGGCTTCCCATCTGGATTATATAACAACAAAAGCAGCAATTTATTTATTTATTCATAAAAGTGAAAGACTTCTATTTCATGGACTTATTTTATTTATCTATGATTATGATTTTATGTATTTATTTTCTATATTTTTATTTATTTAATTTATTTATTTATATTTCTTTATTTTTAATTTATTTATTATATTATTTGTATTAATTTTAAAATTTTATCTATTATTGATATTGATATTGATATTTGTATTAGCGCATAAAATACCATTCTTAAAAGGACCAGTATTTTCTGCCCTGGCAACATTTTCATCAGGCTAGAAAACTTTCCCATTACATTCACTTTGAAAAGAGAACTGTACAAAGACTGGATTTATTACTCAACAGATGCTCATCACATTGCTTAATGCTCTATTTCATGGTCCATATTCATCATCCTTTTTTGATTCTTAAATCTATACCCAATTCCTTTTGAACATCTGGTGTTCTTTCTCTTCTATGTTTGAAACAGAATAATTTGTTTAGGCAAAGCATTTCTTCTTGTAATGCTCTAATCCTCCTGGGTGTTTGGAACATAGGCAGGAGAACAGGACTTCTGTGATTAAATGTAAAGATATTTGCAAGATTGTTTCATTTTTCTGATAAATATAAATTTGTTCCTCCAACGACTTCATCTGTTGGCAGCCTTTGACATAAATCTGCTGTTGCTGGGAACTGGGAAGAATGTCCTTGCAAAGGAAATTGTTCTGCGAACCATTGATCTGTGTGCAGAATTCAAGGTAAATTAAAAAATAAACAAGGTTAGATTTCTTTTTAGAATGGTGTTAAACTCGGGAATACAGTTCATTAGAAATTCAGAAATTGTTCAACATATATTTAAATTTGTGCCAAAGCATATTGATTTGCTTTTTGGTAAGCACATGTTTCAGTGGGACTGTGGACGTGATGTCACCTGAAGAGCTAATACACCAGCAGTGAAAATACAGGTTGCATTCTTGACATCTTAGTAGAAGGCTTAAAAATCTTTTTTCTTATTTCATGGAATGGATATTTTCTGAGAAAAGTAAAAGACGAATATGAAAATTTCAGTAGTTCACCATGGTGCCATACACCATGTCTGAAATCTCATTCTAATCCTGTCAGCCACTGCACGCTCCACTCATTTCCATGGAGTTGCTAATACATTCTAGACAGTGACATGTGTGACATCTGAACAAGGGCTGAGAAACAGTTTTCATACATCAGAAAAATACTGTGACCCTTTGTTTAGTTGTTGCTTCTGCCTGTCAGCAGAACAACGTGGGCATGGGGGACGTACTGGGGATCTCTCTCTGTGCCCCTCTCTCCTTCATTCACATCACCAGCAGTTGTCTGAGAGCTTCATTTTGTGTAAAACCATGAAGCATCACGAGGATCTTCTCTTAAAAACTGGCAAAGCATTTGATCTGCTGCATTTAGCCTGCAGAACATGGAACCCATGATTCTGGAAGTTGGCAGGGATCACAATGAAGCCCTTTCAGCTTGAAGGAGGACTGAAAAAGTGCCAGTCTTTTTAGCCAGCCCTGATCTTGGGAAAACACCAACTGCAATTTCTATTATTATCAAACTAATCACATGGAAAGCCTGATTTTTTTTCAAAAATAGATACTTTTGAATTATGTTAATTTTTAATTTTTTGCTGTCATATTTGATGAAGCACCAGAAGGCTGAGAACAGTGAAGTCTTCTTTACAACTTTTCATCTTGCTGGTGCCTTGTCAGCCTGAAATACATAGAGATTTACATATATTTTCCCAAGAGGTTGGCATTTCTCAGACAAGTGTTGAAATAGTAGTTGACATCTTTAATAAGAAAATGGAGCCAGGGAACAGAATGAGTAAATTAAAACAGCCATTAATTTGATTCTAGATTTGATCTGGAAAAAAAAAAAAAAGGCAGAAAAATGTCTAGATATGAATTGATATTGGATGAAATGCCATGATTATAGAATTAATCCTTGTCTGCAATCAGATACTAAAGATTACTTATGATCAGCCAGCACAAGTTCAGAATTCCACAATTAAAAGTTGCCATAAATAATTGGAAATTGGGAAGCAAATAAAATAGCTAAATGGTAGATGCACTGGTTTATGAAACAATTTCAGGGTACAGTCGTTTTTTGCTCTGCAGAGAACGGCTAATCTTTTTTACATATAAAATAAGATTAGACTTTAAAGTATTTTTTTTTCTGTGTTGATATTTTTATTTGCTTCTTATGTGGGTTAAATTTAATAATTGCTTATTGATTGTTCATATGCAGTGGCTCATATGCAATGCTCACATTCTTTGATTGTTCATATGTTCGTGTTTTCTGCCTTGTTAGATCACTATGGATTTATTCAAAATCCTATCCCCTCCTGAGCTACCTGAAAAAATTTGGGTCATCTGTAAATTTTGTCAGGTCACTGAACTACTTCTGCAGAATAGCTGAAAGAAATAATAGGAACAACATCTATTCATGTGTTTTGATGTTAAAATTTTCACTTGTTTAACATCATCAGGGTTAAATGGATTTAAGGTATCCATGTAGGCTGCATCACTTTGGCATAGGCCATCTTCTCCATGAAATCATGGTTTAAAGTGAGAAAATGGTCATCTGTAATGATTCACCTGCTTACACTGAGAAATGGGAAAAGGTGTTGACAATTTGTAAATATTTCTACATTCTTATTGTGCCCCCAGTACCTCTTGGTCGATCTGTGCCTAAAACTGGGGTAATGATGCAGCTTTTCCTCAAGATTGTAACGAAAAAAGCTAAGTATTTGGAGAAGGTGAATGTGACAGACATTGTGCTTTTTCTCGACGTTTTTATGGGAAATCTAATCCTTGTGAATTCAGAGCAAGGTTTGGATGTGCCAGGACTGGTTTTAAAAGTTTGCAAAACAGGGAATAATGCTGAGATGTGAGTAACATGTGGAACAAGTGATGCCTAAATGATTATTTCGATGACAATCGGTGACTGTCATCCCATAATTTCTTGTACTTGGTGCACTATCACACAAGTTTCTAGCAAAAAACCAGTCAGGGTTTTAGAACCACAGCTAGTGACGATTGTAGCTCATTGCACTTATTTTTTAAATGATGTAAATTAGGTAAGTGTATAACAGTGTTTCTGAATGAAAAATGGAACCATAACGTGGCACATTTCCAGAAGAACACTGAGGGGCAGCATGTACATCACTGAGCAACTTTATTTAATTACAGTTTTTAATTCTATTCAAGATTACTCTGCATTTTTAAACTTCTGATGTCCTTGCTCTGGTCTGATCCTTTCATTCTTAAATTATCCCTGAGCATTACATTTTAATAATAACAATACAAACAATAGCCAACATTTCTTTTTCATTATTGACATTTGTTCAGACATTCTGTGTCCAGTTCTTCTAAGTTTTTCAAGTCAGTTTGAAAGAATACAGGGAGCTTTGTTTTGATCTCTTCTACATGGATCTATTACCCACATTTTTATTGTTTGTGAGCAAGTCTGTAAAGAAAAAAAGTAGGGAATGTAGTTTTTTGCAACAAGGATTAACTTCAATATACCTGTAAAATTAGGAGTTGAGTAAGATACTGGTTTCAAAGCACAGTGACAGCACTGCTTAATGGGGTTTTCCACCTGACATTTTCTTTTTTTGCCCTCTAATAAAAGCACATGTGCTGTTTCTGCTCTGAGGACTTGTTCCCTTGTCCTGCTACACCTGTGTGACCACACCAGCTGCAAGACATGATCTAGTTATGACTGAGAATCTGCCTGACCCTACTGGGGTAGCTGACTTTTTGTAACTCTGCCTTCTCCAAGTTACTGCTCTTCGTGCAAAAGTCGGGAAAAAGAAGAAATCTGGATGTCCCTGACACTGCCAGCACAGGTATAATTCTAATTTGAAATTGTAAGCCTTTTCACTGGTATGGCCTCTATTCTGTCCCTTTGGGTACAGATATCTTGTTTTTGCTTAGCTGTTCTGTATTCCACTGGATGCAAATAATTAAAACTTGTATAATTCTGAGAATGTTAATTTTGTTCAGAACATCAGACTCTGCTTTTGCTTCTTTTCCTCCATCCTCTTTGGTGAAATTTGTAGGCAGACTGGGATACAGCATTCATTGTGGAATATTGAGAAATGTCACATAATTTAAACTAAAGCTTTTCCTGGAGCTAAAGGTACCTAAGCTAACCAAAATATGTAAGTCAGGAATCTGCTAGGATGCTTTGTGTCAGATCCAGCTTGGCCTGACTCTGAAGCAATAACCATAAAGGTAAAAAGCAAGACCCATTAACCATCAGGAAATGGAATCTCACAGATTGAGGCTAAAATTTTTTAATGTTTACAAACACATTGAAATTTGTAAAGTGCTCTGTCAGATGGCATAGCACAAATATCCATTAGAAGCCATAATAAATCTTCTCTTCAATGAATTTCAAATATTACAGTCCTATGTTAACACATCATTTATCCCTCCATATAACATTGCAACCCAAAATGTCTTCCTGGTGAGACAGTTGTGAACTTTATCTTTTTTTCATCTATCTATTAAGTTCATGATACTAGACTCTCATGGAATAGTTATAAACAAATTCCTAATACTATTTACCTGAATTATTCATTTGCTGTGTGATTGCAATGGTTTCAGGTCAAAGGTGATAATGCTTAATTATATTTCTAGCAGTTCTCAAAAATAATTGGATTAGACATCATCCACCGAGATACTACTTATTATTCTTAACAGTTCCGGACTTATTTAAGTATTTTAATCAAGCAGTAAATGATGTATATCTAAGACTACTTTTTTTCCTAGATTTTGAATCACAGTTTGTAAGCACTTGAGCACAAGCCTTTTCATCAGGCAAAACAAATTTTTGTAGCATTTTGCCTTTCTGGTTGCTCGCAGTAGGAAATAAACCCCAACCAGCAACATTAGAGGCAAAGCCACACTATGCTGCCTAAATAAATATCCAGAATTAGCACATCAGTGAACTAATGCCACCAGAATTAATCTCATACACCTGCAGAATGTCTTGCCCAAATCACTCTTAATTGATTGCCATTGGTATTTGTCTGAGTTGCTAATGGAAATCCAGTTTTTAGTGAGGCAAACAGTCTGCTGTGTATTTTCATTAGACTTCCCGTGCCTGTATTGTACTGCACCTGCCTGCTCCCAAAATGCTAGTTATAGCTGTCATATACTTTTATGAGGATGGGAGCAATGTTCTGGCAAGCTAACTTGACTCAAATTGTGTTGGGATATAAAACATGAAGGCCCACTTGTGATTGCAAAGGTAGTAAGTCTAATTTGATTAGGGCTCCGGTGACATGGCACATTATGGACCTCATTTGTCATTCCTCATAAGTGAAAGGATCATTCTGAGAGGAGGCAGAATTGGAACCCGGGAACACATTCAGCACCTCTCGTGCTCAGGGGAAGGGCAGGGAAATGGCAGCAGAGCCTGATCAGTATTGGCTTTAAAATAAAAAGAAACGGGAAAGGCAACAACCAGGAATTCCTACCTTTTGAAATGAGGGAAAAGTTTTCAGAGGGAGTATGATTTTCTCTTTAAGATTTGTGTTACTGAGCCTCAGCTATTAAAAACCCCACAATTTCAAGCCTTAGAACTCTGTTGTTAAACGACTGGGCCTTATTTTCTAAAAATGTTCTAAAAAACCCTTCCATGAGTTGCTAAGCAACTGGGCTTGGAGAAAAAGGCCAGATCCTCAGTTTATGTGAAGGGGAAGATTTCTAGGTATACATGTGAATATAGTATCCCCTCCATTCTTCAAAGCTGTGGATCAGGTTAGGGGCTGTTGGGCAGAGTTAGTTGTGGACAGATAATTCAACTGATTAAATGATTTTACAGAGAAGGCAAACATTAAACATTTTGGCAACATCAGTACGACAACAAAAATATCTCCTGTGGAAAATTACAAAGGTTTTAAATTTTTCTGTCTCTATTTTCCAGAATCCTGCTGGAATACGTGTTTGAAATTATTTGACCTCTGCTTTTTAGTTTTTAGGTGTCTTAGTATATAAATATTGCTGAAAGGATTTATTAGAAGGCTATGAATACTGGGGGAAGGAGTAGAGTGGAAAAAGGCCTCTTTTCCTTTTTTTTTTTTTTTTTCTGGACTATTCTCTCTCTCTTGTCAAAAATTATGACTCAGGTTGGTGTTAAGGTAAGGGCTAGTGTGACCTCAAATGAAAGAGTGATCGATATTAATTACATAATTAATTTCGTAATCACAGTATATTTATAATTCCTACTACTGCACCTGGGAAGATGGAAGACTAATATAAAGAGAAACCAGGAATATATTTCACCTGAAATATGGGACTAACTTAGCAAATAGAGGTGGACTTTGCAAAAGGACTATCTTTGGGCACCAAACCATCCTTGAGTTCACTTCTGAAATAGTTGGAATATCTGCCACTGGACCTCTGTGAAAATATTAAATTTTCCAGGAAATTTGGGCTCTGATTCAATTTTCAAATGGGATTTTTGTAATAATTTAAAGTTATTTAAACTGTTACAAAAATATATCATGTATAAATACATTTTTCTTCCTCATGGTAAAAATGGACACTGGTGTTTAGATTTCTGTATTTTAGGATATCCTAGAGATTAAATGTATACAGTGAGGTCATCGTATTCTTCTGTCTGAATATTTTTCAAGTGTTTTTTTTCCTAGAAAATGCCCTTGCACAAATAACTTGGCTTATAGATAACTGTTTGGAAATGTCAAAAAGGGCTCCCTGGACCTGGCAGCTCTAAACTAGATGAAGAACTATGTCAAGGGAGGGAAAGAGAAAAGGTCTCCAGTAATTTCCAGTATAATAAATGTTTTTTGGTGAATTTCTCCTGCAGGCAATATGTGTAAGTATAATGCACAGTGCTGCTGAATTAGAGTTGCTTTGAGAAATAACTTGTAGGATACATGAATGGAAAAATAAAAATGTGGTATTTAATGCGTGGGTAAAACATGGTATTTGGGCTGTCTCCAGCAGCTTCGTGTTCCCTCACTAAGAACTCTCCTCTCTCTGTTCAGTCCCTCTGTCCTGCTTCCATTAGATCTCTTGCAAGGATCATACTTAAAAGTTAAGTTTTGGTGAAGAAAAAGCAGAAAACAGTATTATCAATATGAGGTAAGTGTTCAGTTCATCTTTCAGTGGCTACTGGTAAAAAAACAACCTTAATTCTTCAAAATCCAATAGAGGTATACTTTTTTTTTTAATAAATAAGTCATACTGGATATTTTCAGGAGACTATTACACTTTTTGAAGCCTTGTGACATGCATTTTAATTATCACCTACCATCTAGTGTGTTGAATGTTTTTAGGCTTGTTCAGTGCATTAAAGCAGCAACTATGTTAATAAATTCTTGTCACTGATTGATATTAAATGACATGTAGCAAACGGTCCATCTGTCTCTGTTCTATCGTTCTGTGCCTTCTTTCATGTTTCCATTACAAATTCTGTAATAAATAGTCAGATCATTTTGAGTGACATTTGGGATCTTTATTGGACAAGACATTTCAAGTACATCTGTCTTCTGACTGGTTTATAGCTGACAGTTCTAACAACAGCTATTACCTTCCAAAAGGCTGCATTCAAAGTGTTCTAAGTGATCTCCATATTCCCCTTCCTGATTTTCTTTCTGGTTTCAGGGTGCATGTTGCTGACATTTCTAGCCTGTGTGCTTTTTAAATTCAGACACCTCCTCTGTGATGATGATTTTATCACTGTTATGCTGAGTCAAGCTCTATCTGCCTCACTGTAAATCTTACTCCTGATCTCTTTTATCTGATCCTGTTGCTATCCTCTGTTAACCATATCACTTTGGCCCCTTTATATCTTGGTGGGTGTAGGCTTTCTAAGTACTCAAACTTTAGAGCTTCTCTAATATACAAAGTCCCTGGAAGCCCAAAGCAGAACAATTGAAACTACCAGCTCAGCAAAAGAGTGTTTGACGTGTCTAATTCACAAGTTATTACTGGGAGCCACAAGATGCTCTAGTTGCTCTTATCTCAAGTTGCTGTGAAATTTCTGTGGAATTATTGTCAAATCTGATGGCTAAACTACCAAGTCATGAAGAGGTTGGTTTTTTTCTTATTATATAAGACATTCAAGACAGAAACTTTTCTTCCTTCAGTTACTATCCCACTCATCTTCACTATTTTTAATAAATCACGTTTGGGTGGCCACAGCACTTGCCTTTGTCTTGTCTTCTCATTCCCTGGTGCTGGGAGGTGGCAACTTGCAAGGAGTCATACTGCTGAGATAAGTCTGACACATAAAATTATTTGACTTGACAATAATCCTCTCTTATGTGAAAACCAAACCTTAATACTCTTGTGAGGATCCGCTGGATTAATTTCCTCTATCTGCATGAGCAGAGGCACCGGCCTGTGCACAGCAAAGCTGGAGAAACGCCTCCAGCTCCAGTGCCTCTCACCAGAGCTCTGTGCTCTGTCACTCCTTCTGGGGCTTTTGCTATATATAAACCATATATAAACTCCTGAGTTAGGAGATAATGGGTACAGGTGAGGAGGTATCTCTTGAAATCCTGTGAATTCTACATTAAGTGCAACAGCACGTGAAGATCTTTCTAGAGCACCCAGGCCTCCTTTCTTGCTTACTTTGTTTTAAAAGTTTCTTTGAGCTTGCTTTAAATGAGAAGTAAATTTTGCACTCGAGGTGAACAGTAATCATTAAAAAAACAGCCTTTGTCATAGACAAAGTTTGACTGAAATTAATTTTATTTTGGATATGTGGAAGTAAAAATAAGAGTCCTTACCTGTTTCCCTACTGTACGTCAGCACATTTAGTCCAAAAGTGCAGAATAGTAATTGTTAGTGACTAAACTGTAGCGTGATATATTATGTTCTGAGATTGTACTTCTCCACTTTAAATATGAATATTTCATCATTACTACACTTTATTTTCAGCTCTTCTGGGGAATGCAGCATCATACATTTTTAATTGTTCAGGCAGACACTTTCCACAAACACACACGAATTTTAATGGCCTATCTTCTTGTTTCAGAGACGCCCTGGGCTGGAGGATTGGGTGGTTTGAGGGGCCAGGCAGCATCTTGAGAGCTTTTCACCTGAGCACCCCATCCCAGCGCCACTGGAAGCGGTCACTGCCAGAAGGTTGGAAGGAGCCATGACTCCTTGTCTGTCTCTGGGAGGTAACAGGTGAGGCCCTTTGGCAGCACCAAAATGTTCACAACTCAGACTTTGGGTTGAACCAACCCTGTATAAGCAAAATTATATTTTCTGGTCCTTCTCCCCTCACACATGGTCATGTCATACACGCAGTTTGGTGGGTAAAAAGTAACTTGCAGTGGCACCATAGGATGTTGTTGCTGCTGTTGTTCTAAAATTTTAACTGTCTTTAGTCAAAACAACGAATTTGCTTAAAAATGCAGCCGTGGGCCCTTGAGATTTCTCGGAGTGGCTCACACTTTATGGGAATAAGCACGTCAGCAGCAGAATTGTCAGACTCCTACTACATTGTATAAGAACCTTTGAATATCTTAAGTGTCTGCAGGCACCTCTGTGGAATTGGGAAACCATTTAAAAAAATCAGGCTGAAATGTCTGAGCCCCATCCCAAACTCGATAACAGAAAGTGCTGAAAGATTTCAGCTTTAATCACGATGTGACCTTTTTACCCTTTCCCTCAAAAGACAGGGGAAGTCATGGATTTAGAAGTCAAAATATATGCTTTTGTAAATAATATATAAAATAGGGCTGAATTAAGTTGCATTTTAAATCCAAGGAGCTCTAGTTCAAGGTCACGTAGTTTACTCAATTTTAGCCATAAATCTCCAGATCAATAACAGAGGTTGAACCTGATAAGGAATATTTAACCTTTGGCAAATGCCTCTATCTGTTTTGTAGAGAACTTGAAAACACAAAATCCCAGCTCTGTGTGTATGCAGTCATATGTGCCTACAGTTATTAACCATGGAAGAAACAGAAATTGCATTTATATTAGGCAAAACATAGAAGATGGAATGAACATATTTGCCAAAACATTCTGTTATTCAAAATTCTCACTTTATTTGTGTGTTCTTAAAACTTGCAGCTATGGTTAAAAGAAAAATAAAATTAAATACAATTCTTTTAAAAAACAGAAAAGTATATACTTAGATGTTAAAGCATATGCAAAAAGAAAATTTATTTATTGCTGTCCCTCTTAATTAAGAACTTTAGACTCAAAATGACTGGTTATGGCCCTGGAAAGAGTGTTTGGCCGTGGAGGAGGAGCTCTTTAAAGCATCATATTCTGAAATTTCAACCCAGTAAAGGGAAATTCAGATAAGAGAAAGGTGGGCTGGAAAATCCAAAGTAAAGTTTACGAAGTAAGCATGTTTATCCCTTTCCAAAGCTCCCAGGAGAAGAGAAAGGAAAGCAATATTATACCATAACAATAAAATTTCTTTTTATTTTGAATGAAAATATGGAAAATTGCAAGAAAGTCCCCTGTAGACTAACCCAAAAAGTGTCTTGCCTTTCCATGCGTGACTCCCACCTTTTCTGTCTTTGAGAATCTGAATGTTTAAGAATTCATTCTGGCAACTTTAGTGAGAGTATTTTCGGGCCATTAAAGCCTTACTGAGTTCAACTTGAGAAAACCAGTCCTTATGATGAGAGGAACAGTTACTTAGGATATCAGTGTCCCAAAGAGGAAAGAAATAAAGGCTCTGGCTCTCATCTATCACATCCAAGCAGGCAGGACTCATTTTGGACACAGATGCATATTTAATAGCTTTGGAAGTGGTATTAACACAGGTGCAAAGCGGGCAGGAATGTGTAATTGCTTGTTACTGCAAAGCCCTGGCCCCACAGTGTAAAATACACAGTTACCTGCATCTAGCACTGATAAGTCACATTTATGTGGGCGGCAGCAGCATCCAAAATAACCCCCCACACATCCCATTAATTTTTAAAGTGCGAGGGCAATTAACTTATTCACTGGGAAAGCTAAAAATCATTTTCTGTGAGGAACTCGTGGCTTGTGCAGCTTGTGCATTTTGGCTTTGGAAGAGGCAAGGAAATATGATGGCATCTCCATACTGGGTGATGAGACTGACTGAAAGGTCTGCTCATATATATATATATATATATATATATATGTATACATATATATATGTATAATGCTTAACTTGAATCCTTTAACTTTTCCTAGTAACTTGGAGCTACAGAGGTCATAAATTCCTTAATTTATCTTACTTTCATCCCTCAGCAGTACAGGATCTTGAGGTTCTCTCACACTTCTACCAAACATCACGGTGTGAACCCCTGAGAGAGATCTGATGAACTGAAAAAGAAACAAACTAGAGGAAATTTTGATTCTCTAGAAGTGATTGGATATCAGAAGAAACTCAATTTAGGCAATTCTTTGGGAAAAAAACCAAACCCCGCTTCTTAATCAGTAAGGAATTAAGCTAAACTGTCTTTTGCTATCATCACACAAGTACCTGAAGGGAAAAAGCCAGAGCACATCAAATGCAATTTGCAACACATCCTGGGTACAACTTGTTCTGCCATCCAGTGCAATCAATAAAAACCTTTCACTGGTGTTAATGGTTTGGGGTTGAGGCCTCCGAGTGAACAGCTGTATCCCAGCAATGCAGTTGTGCACCATGGCACCACGGCTGGCAGGTATTTTGAGCCCAGACAGAAAAAGCCCCCAAACAGCTCATCTGCAAAAGGGTAGAAATCAATCTGTGAAAAACTCGAACGTATTTTTAGGTTGCCTTTAAATTGATCGTGGAAGATCAGTTTAAAAATATGTATTCCTCAAGTCTAAAAACTGTGCTTGTGTTAAATATGTTTTGCCAGGAGTAACGTATGACTCTGTGGAGGTGGATTAGAATCAATACTGAAAGAAATCCAGTGACGTAAAACCCATCTATTTGCCTTACAAAATTCTTGCAAAAATTGATGTTGAATCCAAAAAAAGCCCATTTTTTCTAACTAATGTTTAAGCCTTTGACCTAAGTATTTGGTTCAAACTCATAACTCTCTCTCAAAAAAAAAAAAAAAAAAGGCAGATACTTATGATTTCTCAAGAGAGATATGGACATGCTTGTTAAATATTCTTTGCCACTGTTTACAACTTGAGTTTTTCTGTCATGTCCTGAGTGATAAATCTCAAGGACTTGCAAAACTGGCATATCAGTTACTACTAAGCAAAGATTTTTTTGGAAATGGTGTTTTACGTGGAGTTTTGTGACTGTCTAGAAAGATAAGAATGGCAAAATTATTTTTAGCCTAAGATGAAGTATAAAAAAGAAAACCACAATATTTGATGCTTTTTTTTTTTCCCCCCTCTAGGAAAACATGCAGGTCACTGAGCTACTGAACAGCCGAGTGCTGAGCTGATGTCTAAATTAGAGTCCGGTGGTTTGGATTGCCAAAGCTTCAACAGGGTCTGGGGAAGTACAAGGACTTGTGAATAAAGAAATATTCCTGGAGCTTCTATTAAATGTGTCTTTTCACTGCTAAGCACCTGCTTTATGTAAACCTCACGAAAAATTTTAGTCATGGCTTGTCTGCAAGTCTGTTCATTTCAATTCACTCGAGGTTTGCGGGAAGTAATCACTGAGGAAAGAACTATCAATAATATTTATGAAAAATGGAGCCTAATGCTTGTCAGATGCCATTTCATAACACTTGGAGGTACAAAATCACAGTGCACATTGTGCAGGCTCCTTGAAGAATGTGCTTATTCTGATCCCAAACACTTTATCTGATTGTGTAGCTCCCCAAATAAATCAAATCCAGCTCAGTGCATCTGTTGCTGGTTGTTCAGCATATTCTCTCCCTTGCTCTGAGTGCAGATTTTAGAGTTCTGTAGAAAAACAATTTTCTTTCTGACAATACAGCAACATCAAAACTTGACGGGAATTTTATATTCAAATGTCTAATTGCATTTTCCTTAGTTGTCTATTTAAATTGGGAACTTACTTTGGCACTATCTCTAAATTCAGTCACTCCTTACAAAGGCACAGGAGCAGGATGATATAACTTTTTAAATATTTGGGAGTTTTCCCTCTTTAAATGGTAATCAGTAACTTTTGAAACAAAGAGTATATTTATGTATTCTTTCTTTTCACAACAGTAAAAGTGATAAGCACTGAAATAAAACGTATTTAGTGGGTAGTGAAAGTAAAGCAACCTCACACCCCCTAATTGAATAATGGATTATAATGAACAATATTATTTTTTTTTAAAGATGCTTCCATTTCTATTTACTCATTTGAGGATAACTCAGGACTTCCTTTACAGAAGTTGCGTCATTAATATTAAAATCTGCGTTAAAAATTGTATCAGTCAAAATTCTTAGATCATTTCTAAAAATTTTCCAGTATTCATGTCAGAATCTGTTTTCCAAAAAAAGTTATGTAACAAAACTTTAGTCACAGTCTCCCAAAGACTGAAACACATACAGAACTCTGAAGAGTAATTTTATTTATTGTGTTTTCTTGTGTGTGTGAATAATATTTGTACTGATCATTTTTAGGCAGTTATCATTTGTAAACACTCACAGAATATTTTAGATAGTTTGAACTGTTGTATCAGTAGTTTTTTGTTTTAATTGGCTGTTAATTTGTATGATGACATGTAAAAACTGGGAAACTGGTGGCTTTCTTATACCTTTTATGAAATACAATACCGATTGCCCAAATATTACCCCTTGGAAAAAAAATAATGTTAATATTAGCTATAAAACACAACCCAAACCAGTTTTTAACTAGTTTAAAGCTTCTGATGTTGAGCCACTAGGATGGTTCTCTCTTGTAGTGTAAACACTGATAACATAAAAATCTAAAAATTGACAATGTAAAACTCTAAACCACTGAGATTTAGCTACATGTGTATTTAACTCATGTATGTCTGTGCCCACAGTTTGCATTTAATGAAATCTCCAAATCACACAATATAAATGACAAAGTAAATGTTAAATACAGCCTGTAAAAATTATCTTGTTCATAAATTTGCCTGGTATTTTGCAAATCTATAATAGTATAATGTATGCAGCACAATGCTGTAATCTGCTCTCAGTGATATTTCTTCAATACACTGAGGAATAAATATTTTCATCACTGATGATTAATTTTTTCCATTGATTAGTGGAGAGTTGATGTCACCATAAGTATCAAAACAACATCTCAATGTTATTTCTATATGTTTCTATATCTCAGAAACAGCAAATATTGACAAGATTAAGGATTCAAACATGAATAAACTCCTTTTCTTTTCATGTAGCTAAATAAGAGCTGAAATGCTTTCAGTATTCTTTGCTGCTCAATGCCTGCTCGCAAATCCATGATGTGGTTGATAACAGTTCTTGGTCAGAACTTTACACTGGAGCATTTTGTTGTTTCTTCTTTATGTTTATATCAACCTTGGACAGTTTTGAAAGTATTCATTGACTTTCTAGCATTCGTGTGTCTGGAGCCTTCTTAGAACATTCTTATTCCTGTTTTGAGACAATATTTAGGAGAAAAATGCAAATGGACTTGCATGAAAGAGTGTTTGGCAAAGAACTTGCAATTAAATGGTGATGTTGAAGATTTAAATGAAAAAGCTTTTTTCTCTGCAAAGCTTTCGTGATTTCTAGAATTTCTTGCCAAAATACTTCTGGAGCCAGGATTTTGCCTTGTAGAACCGGGGAGGAGTTCCCAGGCATGGTCTGACTGTGCTGGAACAAGATCAAGACAGGGAAGTTGGATTCCCCTGAGTCCAGGATGCACAATTGTTTCAGAAAGAACCTGGTCTAAAGTTAAGGTAAGGCTTAAGTGATATTTTCTATTAGCTCATGAACAACTTGAGAGACAAAAATGGTGCTTTTAAACCATGCAAACCATAGTAATATTTAGTGTGCAAAAGGAGTCAGTGAGAGAGTTCAAGTCACTTTCTGGTAAATCAATAAATGGGACTGTTTGCATGTTAACTGGGCTTTGGCTTTTCTTACTCACCAGGGCTTGTTTGCTGTGGTAATTGCAATATTTCAGAAGCATAAACCCCACATGTCAAAAAAACCCCCACACTTTGACACGTTCCAGTGCTTTAAAACAAGATAACCCAAACAAAGTTTGGGGTCTTTTAGGGTTAATCCTCTGTATCATGTGAAGAACACCATACAGATGTGATCTGGAAACCTGTCTGGTGATGGAGGTGCAAACCACAAAATATGCAGTTAGCCTTTCTCTTTTTAAAAAGTGTTTTAAGCTTTAACCTCTACAGAAAACTAATTTCCAGGATTGACGCGCATTAACACCCCTATAGTAGTTCAGCCTGTCACATCTATAATTAAGTCTGTTCTAGTATTTGTGATATATAAATTCAGTAAAAGTTCGTGAACACTACTCAGAACATTTAATAGACCATTTATAGGGAATTTGTATTAAGGAAGGTGAGGGCACTTGATTTTTATACAAACATCTTTCTTTGCAGGCTACCATAGACCAGTTCATTTGAAATATCAAAGTCCCTAAAAGATGACAGAAATATGAAGAGTGTAAGCAGATCGATTTCTGAAGGTCTAATGATAAGGTTTGTCGGGGTTTTTTTGGTTGGTTTTGGTTTTTTAACCAAATTTTAGTATTAGTAGGTTTGCAGAATGCATGAGATGCTACTGCTGCTTTTTTTTTTCCTCTGAAAAGTGGAGAATTATGTGGTTGATTTTGTTTTGTTGATGCCATCTATTTACTGTACTGACAGTCCCAGGGGCAGCTGGATGAATTTTTTTGTGCCAGAGGATTCACATCTAAATTTACGTGATATTAAAAGGGTTTTTTTTCTTTTTATTTTTAAAAAATATAATAAAGCTTTACAATATGAGGATGTAAGCTCTCAGGTACCATTTGAGATACTAACATTTTCATTGTATAACCCTGTTAGGCTTTGCAAGATGGAAAAAGCTGAAAATGGACCTGAGGGCGAGCACAAAAGGAAATGCAATATGGTGCTTCCAAAATCGGTCAGGAGAGAATTATTGCAAACCTGGGCCCTTCATGGGAGGAAGCTGCACAGGAGGCAGAAATGAGTGAAATGACCTAGAGATGACAGTGCCTGTAAAAATACAGTGAGTGCTAATGATGCAGGACAGAGGGGAAAATGCAAACACACCACGTTATGGATCAGCAAATGGACAGGCCCTGTTTTTGGGGCACCACTGAGAGCAGCTAAAAGTGCCTCATTGGCAGATATTAGTGGGAAAGAGAAAGGTAATAGCACAGAGTGTTGAGAAGAGGGGAAAAAAAAAACCAGGAAAAAGACTAAAATTATTAGAAAACTTATTTTTGGTTTGGCAGTAGCTTTAAAATTCTTTCTGCTTGTAGAGTGCACTGAATTACATATTTTGGTAAATATTGTTTATCCAAAAATTATGTGTTTAACTCAAGATGAATCTTTACATTCTCACATAAAGTGTATGTGTGTTATGTTATTTTTAATTTAACTTTTTCCCAGTTGCTACATTACTGATGTGTTGTTAATCACAGTGTCTCAGGAAGTAGCAATATTTGCCTATACATAAAAGTAAATGCATAAATGGCACCTCAACAAGGCAGCTCTGGTTCCCTCCAGCCACAGAGTATTCTGAGGCAAAAAAGAGCCTTATGATAGGTGTAATTCTAGGTTAAAAACCCACAAACAAACAAACTCCTCTTTCCTCAGACCCTGTTTTTTAAGGTTTTTCCATGCTGGGAAGGTGCTGCCGTTTGAGACTGCTGGGTTCTCTACAGCACATATCAGATGTGAAAGACATACACAAAAGCACTTCAGGCTTCTTGGACACAGGTAAAATATTTAAGAAAAAAGCAAAGGAGTTACATTTTCCTTTAAGGTTAATTTTTGAGAAGGAATTTCTTTCATATAGTCTCACTGCAAACTTATTTACTTATCAAGGTTCTCTGCTCAGTTTTCATAGGGTTTCAAAAATCCCTCCCTGCTGACTGGTCTGAAATTATGAAGTGAACTGCAGACAAAGAAATGGATTTTTTTTTTGTCAGTGATTGCTCACAATCTGGATATTACAGCAATTTCAGAGTCACCTGGAGGAGTCTGAAACCATTCTGTCCACCCTTGGCAAGGAAAGATTGTGTCCCAGACCTTAAACTAGAAGCTCTTCCAAAGGTAACAGTGTCAGTCATACTGTGGGGGCAAATACTGGGATGCAGCTGAATGTCATTGGAAGGCAAGGTACTGTATATTAGACCTACATAATGAATGCAAATTGTTTTTTTAGGATCCAAATGGGAAAGCATAAAAGGCTACAAAAGCCTTAATTTATGATTTGTTCGTTTAGAGCTTCAGACCATTAAGTACCCATTAAATCGCTATTTTATATGCTGCTAAGTGCATCTCTATCAACAGAATAAAAAAAGATTGTTTAAATTCACCCTGTATCAAATAAAACATTTTAATTGAGAGCATTTGTGATAACAAATTGACTGGAATCAAAAAGTAAATTAATGCTGAGCTCTGATGACAGGACATCTTTGTGATTTTGCTTTTAGTGCCTTGTAGGTGCATGAACAGTTACATTATACATATGTTCGTTTGTATTTAGTTTTCAATCAGAAACATTTTACCCCAAATAAAACTTTCATTGCACTGGCAGAGTTCCCTAGACTCACGTCTGTCTCAGTAACTTTTACCGTGGAGAAAATAATAACTTTTTAACCATTTTAACCTTTTAGCCTCCATTATTTAGGCTGCGTACTAAAATGGGGAGCAGGTACAAGCAGATGAGAAGAAATTGCACGTTTTCCTCCCTTTGGATATTTCAGTGTTTGCTTTTGTTTCCAGAGAAGGTAAAGTTGTAACACCTGCCTTCAAAGAACATTGATTTGGAAACACTGACATTTTTTTGAGGGTCATTTTTGATTGCACTAAAACACTGCATTCCTGCAACTGAATTGGGTCCTTTTCTTTTGGTTGTGAGCTGCTCAGCCTTTCTATTGCCATTATTGCCTGACCTCCAATTTTCTCTGTGGGGCTGAGAACTGCTCCTCCCAGGATGAAATAATTGGAATATGTGTAGCTAGATAATGACATATACACAACTCTGCAGTAAATTGAAGGTCTTGTTCACTTATGCTAAAGATGTCTGAATTCCCAGAAGGAAGTATTCTAAAAAAAATGCATTTGGCAATCATTGATTTTAAAGCAAAATGTGTTGTCTTGTTTAATATAATAAATTGCTTCAATTTGGTTAAAACAAACCCAATACTCGATTTTCTGAAGAAAATTTTGGCATTAAGAAAATATTTCCAGACATAGTTTTTAGGTAAAATTATGTGCTAATAGCTCAGAAATTGAATTCTCTGTCAATACATGCATCTGAAAAGGTCACCCTGTGTCTCCCAGGAACCGCTGGATTGCTCCTGTAATGACTATTTTCTCGATAATGGGGAGATTCTCAGTGTGGGAAGGAGAAACCAAAGAGCAGAAGGGCTGAAGAGAAGATACCTGTAGCAACGTGCAGCTTGGAAAGGCAAGTAAAGGGCAATCCTGCAGCTCCTGGCTCAGACATGCTCACCAGTTAAGCAATTATATTACCTTGGGCTTCTCTGGGTAGTGTTTTCTGCCAGCCCATCTGGCCTGCTCCTTAACTTCTCCTGCAAGTTTTCTATTTGCAGCTCTTCCACCTTCCCCAGAGTTGCTTCCCCATCACGTTTTCCAACTTTCTGGCTCTGCCTTTCCCCCAGCTTCTTCCCTATTATTGATCAAACAACAGCAGTCGCTGAGAATTGCTGGGCAAGATCGTGCATTTTAATGTCTGTTTTGTGGGATTATTCGGGATGTTGTTAAAATCTACCTTTAAAATATATTTAGTTTTAATCTGATTTTTGTGACCCTCCTGCTTATCCATACGTGAGTAATTCCTCTAACAGTTTTCAAATTCACTGCCTTTTCAGCCTAATTCAGAGTGGGAGGCAAATGTATGTACCTGCTGGGAATTTAAAGAAGAATTATTCTTAATTCTGTGTGAAAGGGTAGTTTCAAGAAAACGTTTGCTCATTCCATTAAGTTACCATATTGTTCTTTTTCTGAGGATTCCATTAATCTGTATTTGTCATTTATACAGACAAGGAGCAATTCTGAAAGTGAAGGCATTTATCTATTTATCTGTTGATGGAAAATCACCTAGCACAGTATTTCAGTTTGCCTCAATTTTTTTATTGAACTTGGAGATTTAGCTCAGACCCAGTTAATGAAACTACGAATATTGGAAAGCAGAGAGAGGGATATTGTTGCTGAAATGGTAAATTGTGGTTTAATTCAATTTTAAGTTTCTATTTTTGTCATATTAGGTTAAATAAAGGGATTTAATGATGGATATTCAATATTTTTTCTTTTGATAGCAGAGATATGATCATCCCAGTCTGTTTAACATTTGGCAGGTGGTACCTGCAGTACATGCCCTTTAAGAGAACTTGTGCACGTGGTTTTCAACAGCATCCCTCTGGCACTTTGTGGTGGTGTTCTCTTTTATACCAAATCCTAAAACTCAGTGACTGGAAAACAGATTTATGCATATTTTTCAGGTATCATAGAAAAGACTTGACTCTGGATTGGAGGCTTTTTGTGTGGCTTTTGGTTTATTTTTTTTTCCCTTTAGCTGACCTTTTGTTTCTGCCCATGGAAAATCAATCTTATATAATACATTGGGAAACTCTCTCTCTTAAGACTCCCTGCCTTTCACTTTGGGTTATCCTCTCAGCCAAATCCTGCAAGATTATAATTGATTTTAAAAGTCAGCAGCAAAAGTATTTGATCCTTAGGTGACAAACAGTCAAAGAGGAGCCCTCAGATCAGTGTTAAACATCAATGAAATGAGATTCATGCTAGGATAGGCAGGTTACAAAAATTTAAATCCTGCTGTAATAGTGACAGTAATAAATGGAAACTCAGCAAAATGAAGCTATTAGTCAACAGTGTGTAATGTCATAAACTTGAGCAAATGATTACAGAGCAGCTCAGGCCTGAATTAAAACCAAACAAGCTGAAACAAGCAATATCATTGAGATGGATAAATAAATTTATTCGAGTGGATATAATGACACCTACATTAGAATAAAAGCCAAAGTTTTAGCTCATCTGTTTAAGCTAATCTGGACATCATCACTCAAAATGGGCAACAGCACCTGTATGCACTGCTACTAGAATCAAAATTTCGAATGCTGAACCCTGTCATTGTTGGGTTTTTTTCTTCTGTGGTGCTTAGAGAATCTCTGTAGAAAACTGTAGAGAGCTTCATAATGTCCTCATGAAAACTATTGCAACTATTTAGCATGAAGAGCACCTAAAACAATACTGGTACACAGAATGGCAAGGCAACCTTAGCAAAGAGTAAGGCTGAATTAAATTGACCTGGCATTAAAGAGCACAAAGCAGCCTGAAGGCACTTGGCCATAGGAAGGGTGTATAGGATAAAACAACCAGAAAACTGCTTCCAGGGAGGCAACCTTTCAGGGCACATAATCTACATCTACATAAGAAATTCAAATAAGGAGAGGAAAAAAAACAAATGGTTTCTGGGAAAAAAATAATGATTAAATGGTGTAGCACACAGTGTTATGCTGCACTCTTACATGCAGCTTGTTTTCAAACAATGCAAAACACTGTGTTGAGGGATTTTAACAATGACTCTATTGATACTATAACAAGCTGCAATTTTTCTTGTAAGGTCAAGTGTTCCAAATTACACCTTTAACATCTTCAGCAAATGCAGCAAAGAGTACTATCATTATTTTTCAACAGCAAGAATGCTAAGTGAAAATATTGGAATAGTCCAACTATAATATACAAATAGAGTAAGAGATGCTTGATGCTGAAATAACAAATTTTAAATTGTGCATAAAAATGAATTCTACTACTGAAGTCATGCAAAGTTTCTCTATTTTTGCATATATGTTAGCAGAAAATATACAATAATTTTCTTTCTTACAGGTTTAGAACAGCAGGTGACTTGTTAGCAGACCCAAGATGCTTCTGGAAGCAAAGCAGTGGTTCTGTATGATTCATCATACCTTTTGGATCACCATGCTGTAGGTTGAAAACATCTGTAAAAACAGCCTGTATTATTTCTTTGTGATCTGTGAGCCTCTGAAAATCCAGCTTCTTCAAAATGCCTATTTTTTAAGTGGAAAAAATTGAGTTTTATTTCTCACCCGAGGCATACTTAATCGGTATAGACCAGATTTCAGCTGATTTTACTATTTTTTTTCCCTGGAAGTAGGAATCTGCATGCAGATCTTGCATATAGGTCCACGTCTTTTAGCAAAGTCTCCAAAAATATAAATGCAGGTATAAAACTCAATCCAATGTGTTTAAGTGACAAGGGAAATAGAGGAGGAGTAACTGTGTAATACAGGAGTATAAAATCAAGTGTGAATTTAATTTACATTCAGGCTCAAATATTTAATCATCTCGGATGAAAAGTAGTGTACTCAATTTAGTCCACTCGTGGTTCACTCAATGGGTGTCTGTGAGGTACTTGATCTCCACCCTGGGTGTTGAAGGGCTCTGCCTTTATCCACAAAACAGCATCAGTCTAATTCCAAGCCCTTCCTTAACAGTCCTTTTTCCAGTCTGAGAGAGGAGAGAATTATCTTTGAGAAGTCAGTGGTCATGAGCACCCATGGCTCCAAGCTCACATTATTCACATCAGTGGAAGTCTTCTGCTGCTGCTCAGAGTGAGATGATTTTTAAATATTCTATCAGTGCTCTGAAACCTAGGCCTCCTCAACCTTCTTCAAAGCCAGTGGAAGCTGTTTTTTTGACTTGAGGAAAGCTGGCTGGAATCAATGGCTTGAAGGTCTGTCTGCCCTCACTCCTCCTTTCCTTCCTTCCAGTCTGCATTCATGTGGTGGCTGTCCTATCTGTATTTCCAGGCAGCACAGGGATGTAGGCACTCAACTCAGACACAAATGCCAAGCCAAAATAAACTAAACAATTCTCATCCTCTTATCTAACATTTTCAAGCTTGTGAGACGTTTTAGAGGGCACCTTGGTGATTTTGAGCCAGCTGGTGCCCTTGTAGCACTCTGTCTTGGCCATGTTTTCAGTCCTATTTCCAAGGGCTTTTTGCTGTTTTTCCCCTGGTTGTACTAAAATCTACTTGTTGCCTTGACAAATATTTGTTTCTGTTTCTGTGTAAGTAAACATCTGACATAAAATTGTCTCAGGATTCTATATGCAGATGACTGCTCTGCTACTGTTTACCAGAGTTCAAAACCTGGGCAAACAGCAATTTGTTTGGGCTGAGTAAGTAATACTTTATTTTAGAGGGCACAAATAGCCATGTAATTATTTTGAATTAAGAAATTACCATATCATTTCAGGCTCATTACATGGGTATTTATTCTCAGCAGATTATGTGCAGGCTGTTACAATAGTAACTAGTGTAACTTTTGTTTTGAAAGGGAAATAGGGTAGTAATGAAAGGAGAAAGGTGCCTCTGGTGAGCTTGCAATCCTTAAAATGGCAGTGTCACCACAAAAGTGTGGAGCTCCATTTTCAACTGGAAAATAATTGCTGTTCTTGCATAGTGTTTTAGTGAAGAAGCAACTAACAATAATGCACTCATTTATTTTTATTTACATATTTCTCACAGGGAAACCCAGGAGCTTTGGGAACCATAACTCAGGCAGAGGCTCTGAGAACAGCTTGCTGATTGCTGGCTCAGCTTGTTGTTCATTCCTACCTGGAAGTCAGGAATCTCAGCAGAACCTCAAGGCTTGATTTCGGGGCTCAGGCTCTGAGCACCACTCCCTGAATTCCACAGATTGGTGTTTTTATGGAGTTAGTGCGAGCCACAAGATTTGGGAATGATATGCATAGTTCCATCCATGGTTTCACTGTGAGGGATGGACTTTTTAATGGTAGTGGGCCAGGTGTGCAGCACAGGCATCGCCACAGAGTTTTTCATGTGCCTGAGAAAGCAACAGGAGGTGCTGGCAAAAATGACAGCTCTGGACAACCCATGTTGTCGAAGTACTACAACAGAGCAGGTAAAAACATAGTCAAACTGGGTAATGATATGTATGACTCATGTATTCCTAGCAGAGAATAGGTAGTTATAATTCCCTGAGGATCAGTCTTGGCATGGGTTAGGATATCCATGTGTTTCAGCATCTCTAATAGAGCAGCAAGCTGGTTGTTAATGTGAATTCCTTTCTGTTTTCTCAGTGTCCATCAAGCTTCTGTGCTGGATTGCACCGTGAGGGTGTTGCATGCACCCACCTTTCTGCCACGAGCCTCCTACCTTATGTTCAGCCCAGAGAGCCTGACCATGGATAACGGGATCAACAACCTCTGAGGAGCCTGAGCCAGTGGACACAGGGAGCCTTCAAGCCTCCATCACCTTCCAGCTTGTGCTGTAGGACACTCACCTGGCTCGAGTCCTCCGCTTCCCCAGTTCAGCTTCCTCTAACAAGAGTAAGATTGCTCTGGCTTTCCTTTCATGATTCTAAATGCTTATTTAATCTCTCTAATCTTCTTACCACCAGCTGAAAAGACTAGCACACAAAAACGTTACAAATATTTGTTGTGAGGTAGAAATTCACCTAGTCATAAAATAATTGCTTCTAAACTGTTAGTCATTCATGGCATGATTCTAATTTCATTATACTTAGGGGATCATAATGAAACAGACTTCCAAATTTACCCTGGAGCACTTCTGCAGTATTGGATTGGAAAGCTGTAATTTGAATAAATGAAATGAGTAACCAAAGACAGAATTTCCCTCTCCCCGATATGTCTCATATAAAAAAAAAAAAAAAAGAAGGAAAAAAAGAAGAAAACTGTCTTGTTTAAGTAATTAGTGAGATGCTGACAAAATGCAGGAGGTGTGCTGTGGATAGTTTGTATCTCAGGTGAAAACAAATTAAAAAAGATGATTTCTGTATAGACAAGCTAAGCTTGTTTTCGGAAAGGACAAATTCCTATTTTTGTATGATCAACTAAAGAGGTGGTGAGAGAAGAAATGTGCAAGAAAGCCTGACGATAACCTTGTTGTTCGTTTGAGAAAGGGAGAGCCATAACATTGAGAAAGCCCTCAGGTGTGTCATACAGCTGTCAGACCTTGGGTCTGAGGCTGGAGGAGATAATGACTGTGTTTGCTGCTCAGCACAAGAGAAACCAATAGAAGGGTTGAGGGATGGCAGTGTTTTGCTGTGATATGCAATAACAAGAAATTGCTAAATTCTACCTCAACCCCTTCCCTATTTTCTCCTCCACTCCCATGAGGTCACTCTGCCTGAGCCGCTTTCCTCAGCCACAGTTGCAGTTCCCTCAAATTCACATTTTGCTCCCTATCACAGAGTCAGGGCTTTGCTGCAAGTCACAACTCACTTCTTATTCCAATTCAGTGCACCTCCTCCTTTGGTCTCGTTCCTTTAAAAAACTGGCTTGATTTCAGGTAATTAATTCAGGTCAGTGCATTCCTTCCACAGATGGTTGGAACCAGGCTCTTTTCCAAAGGCTTGGAGAATGAGCATGTCCAGTGAGATTGGGCTGATGTTAAAAAGAGGAATGTTGGCCAGCTCACCTTAGTGTGAGCTAATGAGGATAACACAACTACACATCTCAGACTGGTTTTTAGGTAAAAGTCTTTTACTGACAGATCACCCCTATACATCTGAATATTGCCCTCATGTTAGAAGATTTACCTCTGAAACAAAAGCTGCTTATACATTTACCCCACCCTCACACTTACTCCTATATTTTCTTCCCTTTTCTAATTCCTCTTTTTCACCACTGGGAAGGAGAACCATTCTTTCTGTGTCCTTTTCTCACCCCTGATAATTTACAGTGTTCTTAGAAAAGGTGCAGTGAAGATGAGCACTTTCAGTGACCCTTCGCAGTATATATCAATAGATGGCAGTAGCTGAATCTCATTGGAAAGAACATACCTGTAAAAATGTCATAATTGGCTTTTTCTGTAAGACAAAAATGAATGCACACTTTATGGATTGAAAGAAATGCAAGTTATTTCATAAATCAGGGTCAAAGTACAATTTCCCTTTTTCATTCTCAAAAGTTTTGATAGCAAAAGTTGCTTTAAACAGCATCCAGTTTGCTGGAAGCCGTAAATTGAAAGACTCCACAGGTTCAAAAACAGGATCAGAAACCTAGATCTGTTCAAGCCCATGAGTCTTTCCTTGGAACTGGGTTGGAGACTTGTTACTGATGACATAGTCATGACATTCACTTACAAAACAGACTGTCAATACCTGCACTATAATTTGGAGCCAGAAAGTCCTGCATCCCAGGTGGATTAGCTTGTTTTTGAAATTTCCCCAAATGTTTTCCTAATGCCAATCCAAATATTCTGTAGCACTCTTGTAAATACAATCTAATCTCATTATTTTGTAGTATCCTGTATGTGAACACATATATTTTAATGTCTCCAGTTTACATGAAAGCAAAATTTCAAAGTACTCTGTAATCACCATTTTTTTAATGGAGTAAGTCCAAAAAGCTAGTCTGTTAATCAGTAACTCGAGTATCTGCAACACATTTTCAAGATGTTCACGTTTTTGATTTAATTTTCAAAAATTTGGAAGTCCCAGTTCTCCTTCAGTGACAATTTATTCTTCTCCTTTCGTGACTCCTACTTATTTTCCTGTAGTACAAAATTTACAATTCGTTATTGTATTGCTGGAAAAGTTTTGACAAAATCAAAATCTGTTTTCACATATGTATGATACATCTTCAGTGAAAAGTCATTTTGAAGCATCACATGGATTTTTAGATCACTTAGATTTTTCTCATCAGAAGCAGAATGTCACCAAAATTAGCATAAGCCAGTAAATTAAAGCATATGGCTGCTGATGTATCAAAACTTCTTGATGGGAAAAACAGAGCCCTCTGGCAGAACATTTCTGAGCACTGTTATCATCTGAATTCCTGGGTCTGTAGAAATATTTTGTGCTTATTTGCAAGCACAGTGGTTTTTTAAGTCTTGATCGTGATTATTTAAATTCTTTTGTTTATAATTCAAAGTTTTTTTGCTTCTCCCTTTCTGTAAGTGTTTAAGTGATGCTCCAGTAAGAAACATTCAGAACAGATATATTTTTGTGGCATTTATTCTGTGAGCAGTCGGGGGAAATGCACTGCCTGGTAATTGGCAAACCAATATTTTCAGATTTCTAGTTGAGTTCAGAGGATAGTAAAATGCTGGAAGCTTATGCTCAGTATTATCTAAGTTCTGTGAGCCTTGCATTACCAAAACCATGTTGCAGTCTGAAAGAACCAATTTTTTCATGATACGTTAAGTACATTTTCTCTGGATAGAAAATGTGTGAGGGTAATTATTTTTGTGTGCTGTTATGAAACTGCTTACTTGTTGCTGTATTGGTTTAAAATGGTAACTTGATAATGATTAATAATTATTATTTCAGGCTTTGGCCACGTGTTCTTGTCCACTCCAATCTCCAGGTCAGCCAGAATGCACCTGTATTGCATATATATCTACTTATACAATGATTTTTGCACTTCTCATTCTGCTCCCTCTTTCTTTTACAATCTAAAACTACTAAGATAGATGGCTTCATGCTTCTGCATGCAAGCTAAATAGATGTAATTTTAATCCAAATGTGAATTTTACTTGCGTATCTACAAGATGATACGGTACATTCAGTTTGAGCAAGATGCATTTTTGATGATGAAAAAGAATTTAAAGTGGGAGAAGAATGTTACCCATCATTTTCCCCAAATCATGATACATGATTTCACTCAAACATCTGTCAGCCACACAGTAGTTCATTTTCCTGAATCAAACCTTAGAGAAGCTAAGGAACAATAACGTCGCTCAAAGAAAATTGAGCACCCGCTGGGCAAATGATATTATTGTTTTCAGCTGCTCAGAAGTCTAAATTCTCAACTGTTTTGACTGGAACAGTCAACTGTTTCCAGAGGTGTGTCCCTGTGCCCCTTCCTCTGCTCACACAGTAGCATGGGCCGCAGTTTGTATTCCCAGATAAAAGCAATGTTTGAAGTGACACCTGTGCTTTTCTCAGTTCTTTGAAAGTCCAAAGCTCAGATATGATCTTTCCTGAAATCGCATTCGACCTGTACTGAAGTCTAAGGGTGGAAATGAAGAGATTTAGCTTAATAAAATTCATCTTTATCTGCTTGAGGTATCTGTCTGGAGCAGAGCCCAGGCCTGTGAGCTGCACCCATTTCTCGGAGCGATGCAGAGTCACTCGATGCAAGTTTGCACTCAAAGATCTGCTGTGAAGAATTAAGTAGGATTTTTTTTTCCCACAGACATTCCATGTAAGTAACAAAATCTATCCTTACTTAATATAAAGAGAAAAAATCCCCAAGCTGCTAGAGGAGAAGGTGAATTTCCAGGTATTAAAGAAAACCCAAACACAATTCATAATGGTGCTGAGCTTTAAAGAAAATTGCCTGATCCTTTTTTCCAAGATTCTTTCAGTCTTTCCAAGATTCTTTCAGATTCTTTCCAAGTTCTTTCAGTCACGGGGTTTTAGAAACCTTTTACTACAGTAAGAAATTCTCATCCATATTTGGGACCATTCTCAAAAATGCATATTACATTATTCTAGTCTAAATTTTTTCGTTATTGCCAGTAAAAATAGGATTTCCTTTTCATCAGGTGAATAATATTAACTGTACTGACTAAGACTGTGGGGTGTAATGCTACATACAGGTGTTTAAAAATGAAAACTATCATTTAATTCCAAAATGCATGTTATTTCACTTCATCAGGACTAAAAAAAGATTGCTTCTTTAAATGTAAATGCAAGTGTATGTAGTTCAAGGATCAAGGTGGTGCTGTAAGAGACACAGACACAATAATGTACATTTTATAAAAGTTTAAAGTTTTAACTGAAAAAAACCCCCAAACCCAAAATAAATGTCAATCTCTTTCTCTCTCTTCGCTGGTCACTTCAGCCCTAGAAAATTAAACAGAGAAAAAAAAGGGGGTAAGCTTATAATACAGTGAGTTATCTTTACTTCACATCATCTATTTCCAATCCTGCTGTTCTTTTAGCTGTGCAGCTACAGATGGTGGTCGCACTGTGGAGTTCCCGAAAGCGCCATGTAGATTCAAGCACCAGACCATCAGAATCCCAGCTGCTAGCTAACAACCCAGTCTTGATTTAATTTAATCTAATTTTTTCCTCTTTCTAATTATTTTTCCTTCCACTAGAGTGGAAACAAGTTTAAAAAAAAATAATAAAATAAAAAAAGTATAAAAATACAGAAGAAACATAGATATTATTACCAACATTTTTTTATTCTCCTTGGCCTCCTAGTCTGCAGGAGATTCACAGCTTCTATTTTGTGAGGATTATTAGGCTGATGAATAAATGCTGTGAAGTTTATTTCACAGTCTTTAAGTCTTCTCTCGGAGTCATTTGGATTTGCAAACTTTCACAGTACTTTGGCAGCACTCCTTGATGTTTTTCTCCAAGACAGATACCCTTCCACAGCAGCATTATTTCAGCCTTTCCTTACACTCGCGAGTGGTCACTAGGACAAAACCTTAATAAGATCTATTGAGTTTGTCCTTATCCACTCAGTGCATTATTCGACTCATGAGAACTTTCTAGGTTCCAAACAGAGGATGAAAACCAGCCATTCTTGTACTCTCATCTCTGTCAAACCACCTGACCTAATTTCTGATGATTCTACTAAGATTTTGAAGTAATAGACCAGGTCCACACAGACCTGCTCCTACTAGAAATCTCCATAGAGTAAATGCAATCTGAGTTAAAAAGCTCAGAATAAAGACACCAGGATCCTTCTTTCTTTCTCAAAATGCAGGTCATCCCTGGGAATTCTCCCTGATCTCTGTGGGTACTTCTGCACCAGACAGATCCAGAGGGCCCCTGAATCCAGAGATCACAGGTGCAACCAGTGTTAAGGTGAGATCTCCTTTCCTCTTGCTTCCCAGTTGTCCTTGGATTGGTGTCAACAAATCAAAGTATGCTTCAAGCATTTTCCTGATGTGGGGATAGGATCCTGGAGCATGCAGTGGGGGTTCTACCAGTGAAGTGCTGACGTCTCTCTTATCTTCCCTAGAATAAATTAGACCACTGGCTCAAAGATGACTTCTAGCTATGCTTTAAACAATTTTAGCCAGACAGGTGATGTGAATATGTATTATTTACTGAAGTTTTTTCCAGCTCAGTTTTTTGACCTCTCCCCAGATTGACCTGCTGTCATACTTAATCACATCAGTATGCTTATTTTGCCTTCTGAAAATACATTTTGTTTATAATACAGATTCACAGAGATCCTGTGTTAGTACTGAGGGAGTTTTGCTGTAGTGTTAGTTGTGTGCTGGGGTACCCAGAGGCTGTGGAAGCAGTCTAGCATTATTGTTTCAATCCAAACAAATATGGTAAAGGCATAAAGAAACCTTTAAAAAACACATTCATGTACATGCTTTCTGCTAGAGCCATGAAATGGCAGCAAATCTAAAAAAAAAATGTATCAAATGATGATTTTCTATTGTGATTAGTTCAAATATCAAAAGAAACCTGTGGCTTTTCAGCCTTTAATTAAACCATAGGTGCTTCTTTGTTTCTCCTTCCTACGTATGTTTTGCTTTTAACAAGGGTGGAAAGCCTAAAATGGTTCAGGGCTGTGCTTTACCTCAGAAATGGCTCTGACCTGGTGCTCTGAGGATGATGGCAAGCCTGTGGTTTGCTGTGAATTAGCTCAGTGCACTTGCTGGGACTGGGAATCATGTACTGTAACTAAGGCGATAGACCATTCCCGGGTTTCATTCTGTGAGGTTCAGGGAGCCTCCTGCAAAGTGCTTGCTTTTAGTGCCTTTTGGAGGACTTCAAAGAACACCAGGTTTGGGGGGGAAGAAAATATAGCAAAAGTACCCAACTCCTAATGCAAATGCATTGCTTCCTGTCAGCTTTGCTAAGTAGGGGCAGTGTGTGGTACAGCTCGTTGCTGAAGAGGAAAACTCAGTTTTCCAGCAATATCCTTTGTATTTTTTTTCAGGTAGGGAAAGGATCTGTTTTCTGTTTCAGGTTTTAAAATATAATGTGTAAGAGGGACTGCATTTCTTTTCTCAGGCTGCAAGAGTAAATACTATATATTACATCTAACTACTATTTATGCAGAGTCTAATGAATTTGCTGGATTCACCGGTATATTAAAAGTGTAAAAATATTTATTTCTGAGACTTATTTAAAAAAATAATAAAAAAATAGTTTAAAAAAGCATTCTGGAAGAGTTTTTGAGGCATGAGTTTTCTCCCTTGCGTTTCAGGTAGGGATGCTTCCTGGAGCTGTGAGCATAAGCTTGGCTCATCCCTTAAGATCCATGCTTGGATGGTAGCCCACGTGGAGAAGAGTTTAGCTATCTGTGCTACACAGTCCTTCACACAAGGAGGCTTTTCTGAGGGATTTGAGAGGGTAGTGAAGTGGGCAACACAAGCAGAAGAGTTTGGCAGGCTGGGGAGAAACATCCCAGCTGGGAGGCTGTAAGCACAAATAGCTGATCCCTCAGCTTTTCTTTTTACCTCTGCTTCTAAAGAGCAGCAACGTTGTGTTTTAGGAAGCTTGAAGTGCACACCACTCTCCTGGACTCTGTAGTGTTTTTTATCCATCTTCAGGAAAACAAGAGCCAAATGCTGGAGTGTTTTTGGGAGGCATCGCAGGATCCAAAATTCAGGTCGCAGGTGAACAAACCACACTCTCCAAATGTGTGATTATCCCTCATTCCATTCGTTCTCAAGTGGAACCTTCCAAGACTTACAGCTGGTTTGTCCTTTGTTCTGTTCATTTTTTTCCCTCTCAGTTACAAACTCATGTAAAAGCCCAGGCTAATCCAGAGTGTAGCATGATCGAGGATTTTGCTTATTCATAACAATTTAGTAAGCTGTGCAAAGATAGTGCTATTTTAAAAGTTTTTAGATTGTATCTCTTCCTAAAGAGTAGAAAATGCAAATGGCTTAATACAATCAACTGTATCTGCTTAGACTTGCTAAATCATGAGGAGTCGTGGTGCAAAACAACATAGCTCTCTTCCAGGCAACACTCTAAATTTATGGTACAATGATGCCAGATGACAATGGAATTGCGAAGGAAGTGCTTAGTACCTCAAAAATTAATACCTAGCGAGTCCATTTTTTTATGGTGATGATTATAAGTATTCACTCTGTGTTTGAACATAATCCTCTCAGAACAGCAGTTTACTAAATGTACTGGAGATTATTGAACAAAATACAAGTTGAGGTCACGTTTGGGTCTTCATTGGGCAAATAACTATCATTTTCTTCTCAATCAAAAACAAAATTGCAGTGTTGCAGGAGGCGCTCGGATTTGGTGGATACAAATGCGAAGTTGATACCTGTGCTCTGAGGAATTCAGAGCTACTCAGAGGAAAACAAGCACATTACACTTCTTCTTAGTTATGAGAATAAGTGTATTATTAGACTTCAGGAGCTGTTACGTGAATGTGAAAACACTGACCAAACACACTAAGAGGTGGTGATGCTACTGAGTCCCACGCAGAGATGGACACCTGCCTTAGTGTAAATACTCACAGAGGTACAGAGATGATAAATAGGAGGGAGGTAGGGAGGAATTCAGCCTCTCCCAAACCTTTCCATTGTTCACTTCAAATAGAAGTTTCACAGCCTCTGCTTTATGATCCGTTTGTTATATTATGTACCTATTTTATTTAGAGTAACAAATCAGTTATAAGCATTTATTTTTAGCAATGAATCACACTTCTGGGCACACTTAAGCAGAGCTCATGTATGGTCTGTCCAGTACTCTGCTTGCAGCTCTTTGCATCAGATGAAAAATGCACAACTTAATCAGTTGTAACTGCAGCTATATACCAGGAGGGCTGTTTGATCTTAAATCTGAAGAAATCATCATGACATTGTTTATTATTTCCAATTTCACAGTCTCACGCAAAATGCAAGAGTTTATTTTAGCAGCAATCATAAAACTGAATAATTTGTTTCTAGACATACTCTTTGCTAATTGGTGATGCAGTAAATTTTTTTTCAGTCAGTTTTGTGTCTTTTGCCACAGCTCCTCATATTTACATACAGACCCAGAGAAGCAACTGTTAGAACTGGAAGAACAGTGGCAGAATTGTGGATGGCATATGGTGTACTTTGACTAATTAGGACGAAGTCCAATTTATTCCAAATACAAGAGAAGGATAAAGAGGGTCACTAACTGCGTTTGTGTTAAACTGTGAATTTCACTCCTCACTTTTCCCCCCTCTGAAGTGGACTTTCTCCTGCCTATGTTACTCGGGAGGTGATGTCAATGCAGTGTAGGACATTAACAAGACCAACCCTCTTAGCTTTGAGGTTTGACTTTCCTCCTCTCCCCTCCCAGCCTCCTCTTAATGATGTGACAGTTTGTTGCTGCAGGAGAGAGACAGAACTGCACCTCTGGTAAGTAAAGGTCAGACGCCCAGGGCTGCACAGGCTGCTGTGCTGATCAGAGCCGGGGAGAAAAGAGAGGAGTGATGGCTTCTCAGTGTTAAGAGTGGCCTCACAGAAGAAATGTATTTGAAATAACAATGGTTTGAAGCAGCATGTCACTAACCTCCAGTTCTGGATATTAAAAAAAAAAAAAAATCCCAAGCCCTTGAATATTTAATGATAGCTGAACAAACTTGGAGTGACCCAAGGAAGATGGAAAGTCACAGAAGTTAATGCTCCCAAAATACAGCAGAGCTCAGTAGTCCTTTAAAGCCATTAAAGAGCTTTTACCATCTGTTAAGTAATTACCTATCATCATTAGTTATTAGAAGTAGGAAATGATGTAAAGGGCACCAAAACGGCAGAAAAAGAACAGCCAGATTCTTGTGGGTTTCTTGAATGAGGTCATTAAAACGTGGTTATTAATACTGAAATAAAAATGAAAAACATTTATAGGCGACGTTGTAGCTGCTCTGTTTCAAAAAAGAAAGCACTGCATTTTTCCTGACAGTAAATATTTAGCTCAAGTCTTGCACTTGTTACTAGCATGAGATAAAATCTCCAAAAAACAACATAAGATGATGAAGATTTAAGGTTTCTGAATTCAGTGCATTATAGCTCAGCTAAAACCAATTACGGAAAACTCAATTTGAGGATCATGACTTGGAACAGATTAAAACCAAGTAACCAAAAACCCCCAAAGCTGTGTGTGCTTTTAAGCTGCATGATTCTACATGCAAACATATGCGCACATTCTTACTTATACACCAATATGGGCTGTGATTTCTGTGATTTCCCTAATTCTAATTTCTTTTTTTCATCCTTCTTAGTCAAAGTAGGTTCCCAAAAATGTATTTCTTTCTAGGCATTAGCTGCATATCTTTAAGCATTCTGCAAGAATTGAAGTCTACAGGACTCAGGTTGCACAGGGATCCTTGGGTATAGGTTTTGCAATTTTTTAGTTTTATTTCCTTCAGCAAACTGATATATCTCACTGCAAGTTCGTAATACACATTAGAGTTATACAAATGCATAAAAGCCCTGTTCTGGACATTTTTTAAAATGTGCTCTCAGTTGTTTTTCATGGAGTGGTTCAATTCCAAAAATGATGTGGTTTTCTAGTAAAGGAGGATAATTCTGTGTCAGTCAAGAAAACTCAGAAGGGTGTAGGTTGTTTTTGATGTATTTAAATTTGAATTTTGATAGCTGTACCTATTTCTTCTCAGATTCTCTGCTGGAAAAGTCCTTGCAGACACATTATTGGGCCTCCTATAAAACTAAAAATGGTTTCAATGAGTGAAGTTGTTCCGAAGACAGCTTGTGAGGGCTGAGTTTGTCTATACTGCAACAGAGTAAATGTTGAGAAAATACCTTTTCCTTGGCAAAATTGCTTGGCTTTTTGTGAGAAACCTAAAAAACCCATAAGTGGCAAAGGATGAGCTGTGCCTGTGTCAAGGCACACAAAGGACCTGTCCTGAATGTGTGCTTTGAGACCTCAGTACTGAGAAACTGCCAGTATCCAAAGCAAATAGTGCCCAAGTGAGTGGCCTACCCTGGTCTTGTAGTTGCACAAAAAGAATAGAAATAAAAGAAACTGTTGAACTATCTAGAAATCAAAGAGAAAGTCATGCCCAGGCTGCCCAGGCTAACCCTGGTTTATGGCTGCAATAACAAGACAACTGTGTGAGAAAGGGGCAAATCTCATAAAATTAAAAAATGGGGAGTTTGGAAATTGCTATGGTGGATGATCAAGAAAGAAGTACAGTAAACACCAAAAAAAGGGGAATTAGGACAGCAAAACCAGGGCCACTGGGGTAAGAGAACACAGGGCGAGCTATGTAATGGGGAGAAAAAGGATGAACATGGGAAGGGGAAAAAGTAATAAAAGGAGTAAAAACTGGTGCTGCTCCAGGGCTCCTTTCAACAGCCCCTTGCCTGATCAATGCAGTCGTTCCCACCATAATCCTATCTGAATTTTTTTCCATCCAGAAGGGGGACAGTGCATCTTCCCTGGCCTTGTGGGATCCCCATGAGCTCATCCCAGCACCGAGCATGGATGGGAGCAACTCAGGGAGCACAGCATCACCTTCCCTTCACGACCCTCTGCATGAGGCTGCTGGATCTGTGGCTGCAGACGTTGAAGGACTGCAATGTCTCTGTGTGTATGTATGGCCTTCTTTCTTTCTAGGGCTTTATTGCAAAATCTAGTGAATAATATTGAATTACTTTGCTTCTTGGAGTAATTTTTCCCTGGGCAATTTCTTTTTAATATGTGAAGTATGGCATATATAAAATGCACCACATATTTAAAAAAAAAAAAAAACCCACACAATTTTATTTTGGTTTTGGCAGCTGCAAGTCTAAACATTTAGGTAAAGAACAGAGGCATTAGGTTTGTACTGCCAAAATCTTACTCATAAGGTACCTTATCCCATTATTTTTTCCATCTGTTTTGTCTCTTAGAGATTATTGCAGCAGCTTAAGAGTTTGATTTGTTTCCACCAAGGCATAGGAAGAGAATCTGTGAAGAGTCAGAACTGCTTAAAACCACAGTCTTAACTGCTGAAATATTCTGTTTATGAAAATACTTTCTGAATTTATGTTCAAAATCCTCTGCCTGATTTGCTGAATGAGGAGGAAGAGAGAGCAGGGGATTTTTCTCTGTCAGGTCTCTGCAAGCATGGCTGTGTTGAATATTTAAATACAGCATTTGCTGTCGGTGCATATTGTTACACGCTTTTTTTGGGGGAATGACAATCTGTGGAAAATTATGTTTGCCTTTCCATTAGAGTAAAAACAAAAATATCAAACAAGCACTGAATTATATTTTAATGTAATTTGATGTTGTGTTCTGTTTTAATCAAAAATTGTTTGGGAGTATCTCTCCCCTTTCTTGCTTCAAACCCAAGCAGCAGTTTTGGTGGGGACAGTCTGGATGATGGTGGTGGTAAAGAAACTTGGAACAAATACCTGCAAAAGTGAGCACCATTTATTCTGTATTCAGACACCTGACTAAGAACTGGACTGCACAGTCCTTGAGTACCCAAGGCCCTTCTGCAGAAGCAACTTCATTCTGCAGAATTTTTCTGTCTATGTGGACAGCTTCATCTGCTCTCAGACTCCCCCTGCACCTGAAACATGTCTCCAGTCCATAAATAACAGTGTCTTGCTGGCACTGAGCCTCAGTCCTAGAGGCTGATTTATGGACCTTCAGGAAGAGCAGGCCAGCCCTTGAGGCCAGAGACTCACCCCTCCATATTTTAACATCCAGGAGGATGTAAGGGTGGCAAAGCTGAAACACTGACCTTCTCATGCATTGCAATATACCATATATCAGGTGGTGCAATCGTTGGGTTAATGCTGGAAAAGCAGCTACCAGTAGAAGGTTTGCTGTGAAATAAGCAGAAATTTAGCTTGTCTGAAAATGGAAAGGGAGCTCAAGAACTGTGTGTCACAGCCTTTGTTCACTGTGATCTGAAAAAATGTGTAAAAATAATTTTGGTTTGGGTTTTTGTTTGGCTTTTTTTTTTTTCCCCCTAGAAAAATGGAACAGGTTACCTGAGCAATGGTTGAGAAGAGGACTGCAACCAGGGCATCTCAATGGCATTTGAAGGTAACAAAATGTCTATGGGGTGAGTAAATCTGTGTATTAGTACCAGCACCAAGTCCCTTGATGCATTCTCAGTAAGTTAGAAGTTGCAGCATGTAGAAAGCTGTGACAAAGAAGGTGTGACAGTTAAAAAGGAAATATCAAAAATAAAGTAAAATAAATCTTTGAACGAGCTGAACTCTAAATAATTAAAACTCGCAAAAAGTGTAAGAAGTGAAGCAGAAATAATTGTTGGTGCTAATGTTTAAAAGCTATGAAATGCCTGCATGTGTCCAGGCATCATTTTCTTTTCTAAGATGTCAGATTTTACATGACAGAAAGTTATCACCCCCAGACTGGTATTTTTGGAACTGCTCAGTGTCTAATCAGTTAGTGAGAGTAGTTAACAATTGCAAGCCTCATGCCTGGAAATAAAATCAACGTGAGTGTTCCTGCTGTTGGCTGAGTTGGGCTGGGGGTGGGCAGGTTGGTGGTGGACAGTGATGGGACCTTCAGTGCCCAACAGATGCCCACTTTACCCACTCCAATATGCTTTTAATCATAACTTGCTTTCTATCCCTACTAGCGAGGATTTGGGTGGGTCAGCGGGAGCACAGAAACCCAAACAGTAAGTGGTACCCTGGATCTTAACCTAGAGGCATAACAGCCATTTCACTCTATAAATCTATAAATATTGCTACAAGCCTTTTGTTGTAACGTTGCTGGAAGAGCTTTTATTTTCATATTGCAAAAATAGGAAGAAAGCGTTGAGTTAAGACGATGCTGTAGCCAGCAGGAACAAGGGAGAGTAGCGGCGCTCTGTGACAGCAGAAATAAAAGCACAAGCAGGGAACCACACTGCAAACCATACCCACCAGGAACTACTAAAAACCAGGAGCTGCCCCATGCAGGCTGGAGAGCTGCCACCCGTGGAGAGAGAGAACCCTGGAGCTGCACAGGGCACAGCTGTGGAGGGCAAGCTGGGGAGTCACGCTGTGCTTGTGAGGGAAGGAGAGCTGGGGGAGCAGGGGATGAAGTTTCTAAGCATTGCAATTTTGCTGTGATTTGTTCAGGATGGGCTGCTCACCCATGAAGCAGGAGATAGCTGCTTTTTTTTCTGCTTTTTATTTCTTTTCTTACTTTTTTGTTTTTCTTCTCTATTGCTGCAGAGCTTTTGTCAGGTCAGTGAGTTGAAACATCCTCCAGCAGGGTCAGACAGGAGGTACAGACAGCCCAAAAAGGGCTTCTCAGAGAGGGACATGGGAGAGGCATAAAGAGGGAACAGGGAATGAGAGAAGCTGCGAGTCTGGTGTGTCCCAGCTTGTGCCCCTTCCTCCTGAGCCTGGTGCTGCAGAGGCTGTGTGGGTCATCTTGGAGCTGAGGCCTCCAGGTCCTGCTGTGGGTGTCGATGGCCTCAAAGCTGTCAAAGTTGTGAGCACGGCAGGTCCACTTGGCATCCACAGCTCCCATCCCAAATAGGTGTGCTTGAACACTTCCCAACCACTGTTAAGAGAGGGCCAGTGGAGACAGGGTGTGCAGTATCTACCATGAGTGAAGTGACTGCTCTGGTAGCTGTGTGTTCCTCTGCTAGTTAATCCCCACTGTCCTCACTGTTGATTTAAATACCTTTATGTGGCATTTGCAGACTAATGGAGCACGGGGACCCAGAAGGAGCCTCTGAAAGGTTGTCTGATATGATCCACATAAATCAGAGCCCATTCATTCTTGCACATGATCCCCTGCCTGTGTAGACGTGGCTTCTGCAGCAAAAAATAGAGATAAGTAGCAAAAGCTGCTTAAGGAGAAGTCTCATTGTACGTGTTATGACAGTAGGGAGAGGGATTAATCCTGGCAGTGTTTCCCTTGTATTTGTTAAGGCGGATGATACACAGTGACAATGGCAGCTGCTCCTTTCCAGAGCTCTGCTGAGAAAACCTTACCTGTATCCTTCAGAGGTGCATAATGCATCATTCCTAGCTCACAGGGGTGATCAAGCCCAAACATAGCACCTTATTAGCTCACATTTTGAAGAGCCTTCTCTGGAGGAACGTAAAGGCTGTGAGTGTCACGGTCTCTGTGAGAGCAGCACAGACACGTCCCCTTCCATGTTCATGGATCAACAGCCTTTCCTGGAGTACGTAGCTAAGCCCTTTCTCTATACTTTTGTTTTCATAATCTGCAGAGAAAGAGCAAGGCTTTTTTCCTGCCTCACTGAGTGTGTTGGTTTAGTGCCTGTGTGTAGCTTAGCTAAGCCAAAAGAGAGTTGGTACCACTCAGAACAGCACTCAGATTGTTGGGCTACTTGAGGAAAAAGTGTTTCTCAATCACTCCTTTTGAACCCACTGCATTTAACATAGAAGTGCTAAACATGAGTGGAATGAGTGGAAAGGAATAAAGAGCTTTGATTTCTCAATGCTGATGATGAATGCTGGTGGTGATGGGAACTCTGGGCTAATTGTATCTATGCTGGGGATTTTTTTCCTTCCTTTTTTTTTTTTCCCTTTCTTTCTTTCATCCCATAATTGAACAAGCTGCTAAAAGAACCTTAGGATTAAATATTGAACAAGATGGTTCCTGAGTAACCGTTTCAACTAATGCACCAGAGAGTTGTACAAGTTTTTGCTACACTTGTGTTGTTTAGGGAATGCTCTTGATAGGGATTTGACTCTCCTGCCTGTAAACACACAGCTATGAGCAACAGTTGGAAGGATGGAGAGGCACTTTACCTGCACATCAAGCTGGTAACCCTTTCTGGATTGCACAGATCCCCCTGGGAGGAAGCATGTGACGCTGTTTAGTTCCCCCTGCAGAGGGGATTCCCCAGGAACAGACCGTCCTACAGCATTAACTACCTAAAGCTGACTTACCATCAACAAAAGCTAAGAGAGGAAAAGAAACACAGTAAGTGATCTAAAGAGACAGCCATGCTGTGATGGAAAAAGCCTTTAAAAGTAATTACATAAAAAGCATGAGCTTCTATGTAGAGTTAGGGTCCCTGAATGGAGTAATTAAAAAGGAGCATGCATTTTCTGTTAGAAATCTATCAGAAGTAAAACCAAAATGTAATCAGATTCAGCTTCTATATGGAAACTTTTTTCGCTTCACAGAACAACTAAAAGAAGGTGAATAACAAACACCACCAATTCCCATTGCTGTCATCAATATTGAAGTACTTCACTGAAGCAAAATGTTACAAAGGAAGTTGGGAATGGACATTTAAAGACTTAAAATCTACTGAATTTTCTCCCCAGTTTGATTGTAAGTAACCATACCCTCATTTAGTGCAGCATGTGAAGTGCCTGAGCAGCCCAAGGAGCAGGGCAGTGCTTCAAACACAGGCTGTGCTGCTTCAGCTACTGCCAAGGGAAGGCGTTGGGCTTGTCAGGGTAGTTTGTACGTAAATTGAGTGAGGTTATTTGTGTTTCAGTGTTACTTAGAAGTTAAACAGCCCTTTTAGAAGGAAATTTTAGGCAAATCAACACATGCATTCCACCCTCCTCCCAATAGGGAAGCAATTAGGAAAGCGAGGAGAGCATTCCCAAACAGCACTGCTTAACACACAGGTCTGAAGTGTTTGCTTTTTTTTAATCTAATAATGATACTGACTGGATGATTCTTTTATCTTTGTATTTCACTCTCTCCTGGTTTAAGCATAGACAATAGTTTATGAATCTCCTGTTTTGTAACAGTTCATGAGAGTGTTGCTATTGTTATTTTTTTCATGTTGCATAGTGGGAAAAGAGGCAGAAGATAACATATTTGTCTGCTCATATCTTACATATTCTCAAGAGCTCAATAAGAAATAAGAAGTTCCAGAAACACAAATGTAAAATTGTATGCGTTGCTTAGCAGGATCTTTCCTACCTAATTTTCTGAATAGCCAATCTGATTGCACCTCCAAGGTGAGGGCTGTTATAGGTTCAGAAATGTTGGATTTTGTTAGTTCAGTTAGATTGTGTTCTGTCTGGATACTGAAATGCCTGGTTGAAATTCTGTGGCTTGTGTTATACAGGAAGGTAGGAGAGCAGGTCTTAGCAGTTCCCTAAGCTCTTGAGAGGCATTTTGAGGATCTGTCAGTCAGATTGGGAATCAGGCTCCCAGAGGATGACAAGCACACAAACAGTCGTCTTTTTTTTTTTCTCAATGTGTAATTTAGCATCACGTGAAAGATCTGTTGTAGAGCATGAATCTTATTCTCCAGGGCAGCTGTGATTGTCTCCCTTCAGTTCTCTCTTCTATGCACTTTGGAACTCTTTTGTGTAAGAGGTGAGCTCTTGTAGCTGGGAAGTTAACTTCTACTCAGGGTTGATATTCCATTGAAACACTACCTATGATAAGAGAAGAAAGGGAGCTTGCACTATGCACAAAACCAAACTCCATAAATCTAATGAAACTTTAAAAAAGTGATGTCTGCCTTATTCTAATATGCGGTTTGAAAAATCACTGTGTGAGTCAAATGAGTCATACCTGGAATTTCAGTTGAGGTTTTCAGGGGAATCCTTATTTAATGTTTTCATATGCTGTGGAGTTGTCATGTGGTAATAGGTGAATTTATCATCATATTAGCTACTGTGGTTGTTACACTAACCATTACTTCCCCATCACTCCAGTTCTCAAAATAAATGCCATTGTCTAATGCCCTTTTTTCTCCAACTAGGTTGGTCATGTTCAATGCTGAGTTCTGCAGGACTGACTTGGAAATGCTTTCTTTTGACTTTGATGCCTGGAGAGCCCAATGACAGCATGGATTTAAGAATCTACCTTGGTAAGTACCTTTGACTGTCACTGTTACTAAGATACTCTAACTTGGATAATTTAATTTGTGTCCCTTTGTAAAAACAGGTTTGTTTTTCAGGCCTTTTGCCCCTTGAGACCTCAGTGATGTGAATGTGAGCAGTGCTCTGTGCATTTATGCATGCTCGTGTCCTGGAGCCTAGAAGCACAATTTCCCGTAAACATTTCCAAGTTTGGAACAAAAACAGGTTTTCACATTAAAAGCCCCTTTTTATGTTTGCAAGAAAGCTGTGTGTGAGCTGGATGTGCTCAGGCAAGTGCACTTCATTAGGTAATTCTGCTCTCAGCTGTATGCTCATGAACCACGTTTAACCTCAGAGAAGGATGTGCATGTGTGAAGTCAGTGAGCTCTTGCAGTCCTAAGAGTCATCCTTTTGGAAAGCATTAACAACTACAATAACAGAGATAATATTTTTTGAAGCTGCTTCCTGAGGTTAACAGCTAAAGGCCATCTGAGATCCCTGCTCCATTTTCCATTATATCATATTTAAAAGAGTGGTGTGGTATCCAGCCCCCTTGGAGAGATGTGTGCCAGCCACAATAACCACAGCTGTTAAGTTTGTCAGGGAACTTTTTGTCAGCAATGAAATTATCCAAATATCGGGAAAGGCATCGTATGGGCACCCAGTACAGGTACTCAGTGTAGGTAAGTTTGTAATCATAACAGCACAATAATAAACCAATAGTAAGGTTGTTATTCCTCCTCCTCTCTTCCACTCCCTAACCCTCAATAAAAAAAACCCAAACCAGTCCTCAACTTTTCTTAGGTTTTCTGTTTTTTTCTTATTTTCAGTGATGGCCTGTGCCATGACTTGAGTTCAGCAAGAACTGCCTGCTTGTGCTACGTGCCTTCAGGTAGGATTGACTGGCTCAGTTATCCTGCTTTATGTGACTGCTTAAGAGAAGGCTACAGCCAGTCTCATCTGCAAAATGAAGCTCAAACTTTGTATTTATTCTAGCCCTGTATTGACTGCAGGTACGCCTTTGTTTGCAGCCTGGCACTTGGAAGTGCTGTTGCAGTTCCCTGGCTTCACATCATCAGTTTTAAGCTTTCATCCTGCCTGGAATAGAAATGTTATCATATCTAATGGGAACTATATTTTAGCAGTAAATAACAGAAAGGGAAGACATCCTGGATATTCCTTCCACTGTTTTTCAGACCAGTATTCAGCACACCAAAGGCAGGGGTCATTCTGTGAGCTTCCCTCCAACTCCTGTGTTTAGGCAAGGTAGGCTGGGCTAGCGGTTTATAGCAAATAGCATTAAGTTTCTAGACTAAAGGAGGAAAACAACAGGTAGTACCTGTGTCATTGGAAATTGTGTCACTGTTGGAAGGTGGCCAGCCAGTCTGCTTTTGTTTTTATGTGCTGATGGTGCCGTAGACCAATTTACAATGCCAATGATTTGGCTTTTGTCTGTTTAAAAGATGGCTGTAGTCTAAAGAACAACCAATTCCAGTGACCTTTTAAAACTGCAGGTTATCTTTAGCCTCCTGAAAATAAGTCCACTCTTTGAAAATCCAGAGTTATTGTCTTCACACAGAACACAAAACATAAGAGCATAAAAAATCCAACCCCATATTCATCATCTTATTCTGTGGGAGTTATTCTTGAGCATGCAAGACCTCACACATTATTCCTATGGGTGCTTACATCTGACAGTCTCTTTTGTAATATGTCTGGTGTTACAATTCTTCTCTTTTTAATAATGACCTGCTTTTATTCAGAAATAGTTGAGCTACAGCAGCCCCATCTATTTTAGATAACAAAGACCACTTTTTAAAGCTGAACTGTGTGAATGCTTTTTAAACCCCTCTTTTATAAAGAGAAATCTGATATTCTTAAAAACTTCAGGTTGTACATTTGCTATAACAATCCACTTGCTGCTGATGTGTTGGGGGGTTCTTATTTTTTTAATAAATTGTTTTCCAAATAAATAGCAAAATTCCCCATGGACACTAAGGTAGTGCTAAACATCTGGCTTGTCTCTGTAGACTGCACCATGTGGAACCCGAAATATCTGGTTCAGTGCTGTGCCTGTCTCCCAGTTATATTCAAAACATCAGCTTTTCTTGGAGAACATTTGGTAAAAGCTTCCTTCATTGCTTTAGGCCAATTCCCATGTGGATATTACTCCTTCAGGCCGATGTGAAATTATTCAGATTACAAAAAAGTGAAGTTGTCAACATTTGTTTGCAGAACAAAAGGCTGCGTTGCAATAACAAGTGTGGAACAAGAAAAATTCCAACAGCATGTAATACATTGTAGTTCTAATTTCCCCCCTACATTTCTAGCTTTAATAGAATATTCTCTGGTCTGGAAGACTAATTGTTTTTTTTAATAAGAAAAGGTTTTTATGTTACTGAATTCAATGAACAGTTCTCTCCTACCTAAGCAGACAAATGCCTGTCATGTAAGTACGAAACACAGCCTACATATAACTAAGATCTTGATTTCTGTCCACATTTCAACAGCTTTTTGTCAATATGATTTGATAAAGAAAAGTGAGAGAACAGAGTTTCTAATGATAAGGTGGAGCTATTGGGGGGGGAGGGAAACCCAACAACTACCTTTTTTCTTACATTTGCAAGTTTTTTTGTTAATATTACAAGGTTAAAGATTTTTCATGGCCACATTGCTCAGACAATCTCCTTTGTGCCTTCAGGATGTTTTTGCCCTACTCCAGGGCTACAGACCCTTACGTGTACATCATTCCACCACCTACCAAAATCCAACTGGATGTGCTTCTGGGGTGGGGAGAGCTTCTGAAATCAGCTTTACCATTAATCAAAGACATGATGCTTTTTTTTTTTTCTCTATCAGATTAATTGCATGAAAAGGCACATGCACTAAATTGCCCCTGACGCTGACCCGGTTAACAAGTGCCAGGGATATCTCATTTCATCTGTGGCTAAAGGGAAGCTCGTGTGTCATTTTATAGAAAACATGGATTCTGTAAATTATAAACCCAACAGCAAACATTATCTACAGCAATAGGACCTTTCAAAACCTTCTGAGAGAGACTTGCTGGATTACGAATTTTCTGCAGTTGCATCATCTCTGGTTCAATCACACAGATTAATGTGATCCATTGCTCTTATCTGCACCGATTTTATTGCATTGTATGTATGTCATGAACATGGTTTGTGGTTGAAAAGGGAATTGTACTGCCACAGTATGAGAGTGAAAAAGCATAATTAAGAGACAAGTCATGAACATCCTTTATTATGGTCTAACAGCCATGCTAACAGTCTCGCTTTACATTTATGTGTAAAAGGTACTTCAAGAGGCAATGCCTTATGAAATAAACTTAGTTTTGACATTAGGATGCTGTTGTAACTTACATAGCCTGTAGATGACTTTAGATGGTTGTCTGCCATATAGCTCAGCTTCAAGACACAGATAGAACCTTGACTGGAATCTAACTTTTAGTACCTGGTCAAACAATATTTTTCCACTTAAAGAGCTTTTCACCTTTATTTGGAGTGGGAGTATTATCATTATATAAATGGAGACAAGAGGTTTTCACCCAGACTATACATATGCAAAAAACCCATACATTAAGCTAGAACATCCACTTCCTGAAAATATGGCACAGGAGAAGGGAGAGAACTGGTGTAGGTGTGAACCCCACACCTGCATTTTGGAAAGGCATATTCCACCTATCCTTCCATCCATCTGATGAAGGACAGGAATCCTGAGAGCTTTTTTGCTTTGCTTCCTGTACCTATGGAAACAGAAAAACTAAAGAAAGATGAACGACTTCTGTGTGAAATTTCCTTCCAGGGAACTAACTGCAAATTGCAGTGGTTATTAATACGAGTGATTCAAGTCTAATCAGGGAAAAGTAAGTAAAAACATTTACTTTGCATCCTACAATCTATGTTGGGGCTGGAAAACAAGAACTCTTTTTCTTTTTTTGGCACTTGTTTTCATTTTCTTGACTTTGTTGTTTGTTTATAGAAAATAATGGAAAAAGGGAAGCCATCTCAGGAAGGAGAAAAACTTGCTTGTCACCTGGGATAAGGAGAATCAAAGGTGAGGCCCAGTGTGAAAAATGGGCAGAGAAAGGGCTCCCATGTTTGAGACAGGTGCATCTACAGGGCATATACGTGATGTGGGCTGATGCTGTCTTAGGTTTTTAACTGGGAGTTTCCCTTGTGGGTAGAGCTTTACTCCTGACCCCTTGTGGTTCTGGATGTTCAGTGTCAAATTGGCCAGTGTACTCCATTTCCTCTACTAATATAGGTCTTCTCTTTGCTTAAATCATGCCTTATGCTAGTGGGAGAAATGGAATACACAAAGTCATCCATATTCCACATCCAAAATGATTTTGGGCAACCGGACTCAGTGCTTTCATTTAAGCAGCAATTTTATTTAACAGATGGAAAATAAAATGAGGGAAGTATAATTTCCACTAAGATTCTGCTCAACTTTGAACAGGAATGAAAGGATAAATTGTGATATTCTTATTCTTGCCAGAAGTTATCTTGCTCAACACCATAAGATACTATTTAGTGCACATGAAATTTGGTGTTCTGATCCAGCACTGATTGACTTGTTCAGTTTGAAAGTCAGATTGAGAAAACCTATGTGCTGATCCTGCCATGAAATACTTCATTACCTTGTAATAGGAAATATATTCACTCTGTTGTTTTGATATATATTTTAAACAGCATTCACCTTTAGCTTGTATTTTGCTAATTTTGTGTACTTCTATATTTTCTATACCTTTCTTATTGACTCACCAAGATTAGCAGTGCAGATATTCAGCAAGCTTCCCTTCCAACAGTGTTTTATTTTTATTTAGGAGGTTTTACTTTGTAACCAGTCAGTCTGGGATTCTGATGAGCTGCGTCAAAGGCTCACCACGCCAGATCCTGTCTTCGTGACATTTTTGGAACTGGCGCACTCCAGAAATAATAGTGAGGAGTTAAAAATGCTATCCAAGAAGACTCTGTAACAGGCAGCTACCTAAAGAGACTGCAGTCTTCATTAATACAAAAAGTAACAGCATTTATTAAATGTGAGAAAAACTAGAAGGTGACTGTACTTTGTATTTGATGCAAGTAATTATGTATATTATTTTGATAGAGCAGCTTTGACAAGCTCCTCAGATGGTTTAAACAGAATGGTTACATGCACATCTGACTCTGTTACTGTTAAGAGGCTCAGTTGATTTATTAGTGCAGTATTGCCTTACACTTGGTTTATTCTTTGGACATGTTTCTGGAGGGTTTAGTTTCACAGTCTCTTGGGCATGGCATTTTGTTGACTAGCCATCATCTAAACTTGGCCAAGAGCAATCAGATGAGCTTTCCGCCCAAGCTCTGTAAGCTACATCTGTTCTCAATAATTGACAACGCAGTAATCCTCCCCCAAAACTCCTCCTTGGGGCATGTTGTATCCTCACTTGCCCTGCAAATTCATCAGTTGCTTGGCTCTGCAGATCAGTCACCTGCCTTGTGCACTGTTTCAGCAAAACTTCCAATGCTGTGGACGAGGAGATGTGGTTGGAGAGGAAGAGGTGGCATCACAAACAACAGGAAAACAAGGCTGTGAATATCAGGGAGCATTTGGCAGTACCAAGAGGGTGCAGCTCAGATGACACAAGCCCACAGCAGTCACCCTGTTTTTCCCATTGAAGTGGAAGCATTTGGATTTCAGCTGGTCACATTTTCTGTGCAGCGTTTGCACCATCGTGGAGTTCACGCCCCTCAAGAGGGCCTTAGATGAAACTGCAGAGATTCAGTCATATTTTCTGGTTTTTACTACCATGACACTTAACCCAAGGAAGAGAAAAGGAAGTGGGTCACAGGGGAGCAGAAAAGGCTGTGACTCTTGCTGAAAACTGCTCAGCAATAATGAAAACATCCCCAAATTATCAGCACTGTTTCCAGCGCAAATCCAAAACACGGCCCCACAGCAGCTACTGGGAAGGAAATGAAGGACCCCAGCCCAAAGCAGCATGCTGAGGTGTTTGCATTGTCTCTTTCTACTTTTAATAATGGCTTTTTATGTGACAGTGTGATGGCTGAAAAGCAACCTGATGCAGTGGCTACATAAATTTGGAAAACTCTTCTTGAAATCTCTGGTATAACCCGTGTACTACAGTGTGTCCAAATGGATTTAGTGTATCATAACGCTCCTAGAAAAACAAAGGGACAAAGAAGATGGGATTGCTAAGGGAGACATTAGATTTCATTTCACACTGGTAATAGTTTAGAGACGTGTGCTGAGCAAAATGTGATTCAATTCTGCGGCACTTTTCTTTTTTATTGCTGCTAAGTGATTTCAATATCCAGTCTAAAGTGATATTGAGAGTGTTCGATAGCATGGGGATGAAATCAGGGAGCGCTGGAGGCTCAGAGGAGGCCACAAATCTCAGGTTGACTCGATGAAGCCTTTCGGAGCCATCCCCACCTGACCTTAACCCATCTTATTTAACCTGGAGGCTGCTGGTAAGTACCTTGCAATGTAAGATATGGTCTGGTGTTAAAGGGAACTATGTGGCTAGATTGAATTTTGGACATCAATTGATGCTACGTAGTTATGGCTTTGGCCGTGAACTTACCGCTTTCAGAAACATTTATGGCTAAAAGTTTATTGCCCAGCTGTTGCTACCTGATAGACATATCATAACTAGGAAATGGTTTAAACCCTGTAACCTTTCAATTTATGGCAGTTGAAAGCAGATGGAGATTGCTACACAAACAAGGAGGAATACCTGTAGTCGATGGTCACAAACATGGTTCTTTGGGGGCCGCTTCTCAAAGCTAAGGAGCTCCTTTCTGCTTCTGATAAACACGCAGCTAGAAAAGGTGAGTGTTGTTATTTGTTCTACATATTTTGCATTATTGATGATTGGAGTAATTTCTCAGTTTCTTGAATTTTAACTCAGCTGTTAAAAATGTGGTTTGTGTACAACAGTGTACAGTGTAGGATACTAAATCAGATGATAATGGTAGGAACCTGAGGGGCACAGGAGGAACCATTGAGAATCCGTATTTTGGCTTCTGCAGGTTTTGGGCATAGAACTGAGGAAGTGTGAAATGAGGGCAATGCAGAAAAATACATCAGAGAAAGGCAGTCGCTCAGTAGGTGCCCACATTAGTGAGAGTTTCACAAATCTTTTTGTTTTCAATGTAACAGGGTTACACAGAAAAACAAGTTTATTTTCTGCAAGAAAAGGTTCAGGAGCTACACTGTATTGTCCTCGCTATGCTTTTGGAATCCTTTATATTTCCAGGCATCATCTCATTTTCTCTAACAAAATACTGAGTTGCTGATAAAGTGCCATGAAATTTAAAAAAAAAAAACAAAACAAAAGCAACCAACCTTTGAAAGGATTTTAAATTCATGTCTTGCAGTTAAACAACCTTGGCTTTTTTTCTGGAATGGCTCCTAACTTATGTGTTAGCATGGAATATTTTGTTCGGTTTCTGTGGAGTTCTTTGAGAGTAAACTCCTGCTTTTGGTCTTTAGCTGCATAATATTTTGGTTTAAAACCGGTAAGAGTAAATAACCCCCAAAGACAGCCGTGGTTTGGTAAAAGCTCCCTAGGGCTTTATTTAGTCCATGTGCTGTGTTTCCATTTGAATGGGTAAATTGTGCTGTCACTTGACTTGATCTGCAAGGCCCTGCGAGAAGGAAAAGTGAGCTCTCAGCACTTCCTCCATTAAAAATGCCCTCAGCAGCACGGTGTAATTTTGGCTAGACAGCCACTTAGCTTTCAACAAGTTTGCTTTTAAGAACCTTGACTGAGGAGGCAGCTGCACCCTCGTGTCTGTTCCTGGTGCTCCTGAAAGGCGTGTCAGGGGCTGGCAGGGGAGCAGGGCATTCCCGCTTATCCTGCCTTCCCCACCAAACAGCTCCTGGGCACAGAGGAGCCGGAGCCATTTATATTGGTTTCCCACTAGGCCTTTATGTAACCTGACAGCTCTGGCAGCAGACATGGCTTCTACACAGTCATCAATGATTGCTTCTAAAGCTTCATTAAAAGTGCAGAGCACACTGACAGTGCTCTACTCAGATTTGAAGTGGCACGGTTTCATTTTTTTCATATGTGAGCAGATACTCTGCTTTGTGCTGAGATACTTTGCATACAGCCTGTGCAATAATTTATTGGCTTCTATAGCATCCAGGGACCTTATTTTTTACAAAGCAGGATGCATTCGTAAAATGTGTGTTGCTAGTATTATTATTTTTAATTTTCTTTTGGCAACTAAATTTTCTGCTGCATAGAATAATGAAACAAGATGCATTTGCTGGATTCTAGTTTACTTTAAAAAAATCACAATGGTAATTTACATATGTTTCACCCTCACATCCAGATTTTCACTATTTACCATAACTGGATTAGATTCTAGTTATGTGCAGAACTGACTGGAAAATAAACTGGCATCCTGATTTGCATTCATTCTGCACCAGTGGTTCCCCTGTCAAATTTGTTCAGTGTGGCAGATTTGTCCAAGAGCTGGGTTTGTGTATTACCTGTTACTGCAGGCAAAAGCCTCAAGTATGTGTTGGCCCAAATCCCTGACGTGTATAAGGAATGACATGTTGCTACCCAGAGAATAGGAATACTGGAATTAAACTGCACTTAGTGCTCAGTGTAGAAGAGGGTTGGGGGGAAGGTTTGTGCCTGATAGCCACGAGCCCTCAATTACAGAGTGTGAAAATGGCTGCTGAATGCAGGGTGACCTCAGCCTGTGATTTCCAGGTGGCTTCCTTGTAACTATTCCTGCCCTCCAAGGTAGACCGGTTGGGTTTGTGGAGTGCTTTGTGACTCCACTGTGCTTTGTGACTCCACTGCCACTTGACCAGGCAGCAAAAGAGCGGGTGTGTTAAAATCTTCCCTTCCAATTGAAGGTGTGTGATTTCGGGGAAAAAACATTTTAATTTATCTGTCTTTTCATGCTGTTTCCTTGTCATGGATTTTGTTTATAGGTATAGCTTACTATGGACAACAGCACTCAGTGGAAGTTAAGAAACAACCACTGGTGTGTGCTTATAAAATATGCATTAATGCTCAGTGTTCTATGCAAAGAAATGATTGTCTTTCTGGACTTATTTTCCATCCTTATTTTCTGGGTTTCATGTAAAACCTCTACTCTCAGGCCTAATGCCAGGCTCCCATTCTGGGGTGCCTTTTATTCTTTGCTGACTCCCAAGTAGAACCCAGTTTTCCTCACGTATTGCACAACATACTGTTTGGAGAACTTAACTCTTCAGGAGTTAAATATTTATTTCACCAGCCCTTGTTCACCCTGATGTAGAGAAGTTTAACTCACCCTTTACTCTGCTGTTCACTGTTACCATCCATGAGCTGTCACAATCAACCCCCATGTTCTTATGGCCAGCACTATTACCTCAGCAACAGATTGGTATTGATATTATTGCAAATTATAACAATAATTATTCCTCTTTCCATCTAACAGAAATAGGAAAGGACTTAAAGGTAGATTTAGTACATATGTTTCAGCTTGAGCTGGGTAGATTTGTGAAAAGCCAGAACTAATAGAATAGGATATAAAGCTGTGCTAACACAAATATCTAGTTTTTGAGAAGTAAGCTAAATATAAAAGTGACCTGAAGGGGGAGATACAGAAGGTTTTGCTTCCATGCAGATTTATACAAAAGATAACACAGCAGTCAAAATAGTAGCAGCAGAGAAGAGAGGTAGATGTTTAAATGGGATTTGAGTGTCCCTGGTGGCTTCAGAGGAAAGTGAAGCACTTCACTTGTGTTTCAAAATACATACATAAACTTGCTGAGTGTATCACTCCTCCAACTGCTCGTTCTAAAGGCTGCAAGAGGCACGTGGGTGCTGTGCATCACATCTGCTGGCTCGAGCAACAGTGGGGCTGATGCGTCCATATGTCCCTCTCTCTGCCAAACAGGGTTTCTCACAGGCTCTGTAGTGCATTTTGGAGGGCTGGAGCCTGTGGGAATTTATAAGTGCTTGAGGATAATAGTGCAAGTAGTGCCATGAGGTGTCCACAGCTCTGTGCTGTGATTCCCAGGGAAGCCTTCAGTGGATTTACTAAAAATTCCCTTTATTTTTGCATTATTCTCTCACTAGAGATGCTTGGTAAGTGACACGGCGATCAAGATAAGAAAAAAAAAGTGTGAGAAGTTCCCAGTATTTACCTCACAAAGTTTGTGATGGGAATGCAAGATAGTATTGAGCTACTGCCCTCTAAGGAAAAGGGTTAAAAGCAGGAAATTTATGAAGTAAACATTGGAAAATGTTTAGAAGAAAGAAGGCAGATGTGCAAAGAGGCTGTTTGGGATGAGCACTCTGCTCCATGAATTAACACTCAACTCTTTCTGACTATCCCACACTGCCAGTCCAGCACCCTCACTCCTTTCCCCGGTGAAAAGTTTCCAAGACCTCACACCAAGGCCACAGCTCTGCCATGTGTCTGTGGGCAGTAACATGCATCACTAGATTGATTCGTGCTCTTGTCACATTCCTCAAGAAAATTATGGCTTTGGTACACTCAGTTATAGATTTAGTATAAACCTGCTTGTATCATCCACTCAGGCTGCTCTGAGAGACAGGACACAACTCAGGGCTGATGCCAAATAATGATTGATTTCCGTCTCCACAGAGCTTTCACAGGCACTAGGGACAGAGGGACACTCATTAAACTCTAGAGGATGCCCAGGTTTTCACCTGTTCAGATGCATCTATCTTGTTGAGGGGTTGAAAATTATTTAAATTAGTCATTCAGGAAGACCTTTCATCAAGAGGCAAAATAGATCTAGATTTACTTTAAAAGTCAGCTTGTTATGTTTCAGTTATGTTTCAGGAGCTGCAAATTATTTGCCTACAGCCCCTGAGCAGTTGCACATCTTTTTAACATGCAATTATCATTTGTATAGGAGCTCCTGGCCAGCTCCATGCAGATACAGAAATGGTATTAATTGTGTAGGTAGTGCATAGGCAGAGTATGATATAATTAGCAGTATGAACATGTTATAAACATCCAGAAGACTCAGGTGCTGAACAAATTAGTAAAAGGTAAAAAAGCCAACCTGATAAATGGTATGGTAATGATGTTTTGATATTATCTCATGCCAAGTGACCGCTTTAAGAGAACCTGACAATCTCCTGAGTTCCTAATTGACAGTGACAGATTGGTACTAATTAGATAATCATGATACCAGTGGAAAATGAATTGATGGGGACACACAAAACCGGTGACATGCAAAAGGGCACCAGGAAGGGCTTCCTTAAGCAGGAGGACACTTCAATGAGTTGAAAAAATACCTCTTATTGTTCTCATTTCTGCTCTCTGGGTTTTGGTTTTGTGGCTTTTTTAAGTATATGGTAATTCTTTTATCCTTTTTATGTTTTATTTAATCTCACACTATCAGTGTTCCAGCTGGTTTAAACAGAGAATATACCTGTGACCTCTGTCAGAGAGAAAGTGTTTTAAATTTTCTAAACCTTTCCTGTTATAAAATTTCCCTTTAAATACCTGACATATGCAGATAACCTGTACCCAGATTAGTCTGGTATCAGGGTTTTTTGTTGCTACTGCTTTAATGCAATAAGCTGCGCACAAGCAAAATTTTACTTAGTCATGAAGATCCTCTTAATGTTTCCAGCATAGCAGAATATTGCAAAGAAATAAAACTCTAAAATTACTCATTTCACTTGACTGTGCCTTCACTTGAGACCAGCTACTAGCACATAACCTTCCTGGGCCTGTGCCATTGCCAAGAGGTAACTGGTGTATGAATGTACCAAATAAAAGCTGTTGCAAAGGTGTTCTCATGGTCTAGAAGTCTGGTCTAATTTTCTCTGGATGCAGCACAATTTCATATTTCTTTAATTATGTTTCAGTCACATGTATAAAACCAGTCCTTCAGAGTTGAAATGACTGCTGCTTTTGATTCATCACTTAGGGGCACATTTTAATTCTCCAAGAAGGTTAATAGCTTCATGCATTCATTGTTTAAGTAATTCCTTAAATCCTCAATGCTTACATGAGCAACTTTACTGGCTTATACTTTCTTTTATTGAAATATATTACAGGAAATACCTTAGAGCCTACTTCGTTAAGTTTCCTTGTAAAATGCTGTATGCCTCAGAAAGAAAGAATACTAACCTGTAATACTTGTTTTTAAAGGGAGACCTCAACTCTTTACTCAAAAAATTGCAGTAAGTATCTCTCAACCTCATTAAATACAGCAATAGGTGCTCCTGTTCTGATGCTGCTGAAGCCACTGAAAAAAGATTGCCCTTCCTGAAGGATCAGTGTAAGACCAAGACTAGAATAAAGTTAATTAAGAAAATGTTGATTCACCAGTATTTTCCCCTCAGGTTATGATAATGTTACTCATTGTCCGGGTAAAACAAAAATCCTCATGCTTTCCAAGAATTAGCTTTTTTATTATTATTATTATTTTGAGTATACAAAGGTGGAACTGCAGCATGACAGAGCTGAGATTCAAATGGGACCCCCTGGAGTTGCATAGCTGCTTGTGAAAAGCTGTGTCATTTGTGGGTTCCTAATGAATACAATTGCTTTCCTTGGTGGTGCTTGGGTTTGATTCTCTTGCTACAGCTGGTTTAGTAAAATTCATTCACTGATGATGCTGGGCAATCCACCTCAGTGAAAATGTATTGATTTCCTGTAAAGTCTGTTTTTGGAAATGTTCTTACACTGTGTTTTTACATACGTTTGCTCATAATTTAATTGCTGTACCTTTAAGCTACCACTCGTGCTGACATAGCTTAAAGAGCCACACAAAGCTGTGGAAATGTTCTTTTGCAGAGAATTGGAGTAAAGAAGGAATTAAGGCTTTTTAAAAGCTAAATTCTTTAAGATTTGTGTCAGCTTGTTGCCTACACACTGTTGACACTTCATCTAAACTAAGTGTTGACTTCATGTTTAAGGGTTTATGCAACTAAATTATTAGGCTCAGTTGGTCAAATGGTGCATATTCAGGAGTTTTAAAGACATTTTCACAGCTGAAAAAAACACACAAGAAAGAGAAGCTTAATGTCTGTTTTAAAACTGTTAAACCTGTAGAAATTCCTGAAGCATAAAGTGGAAAGCATTGCTGCTTGCTGTGCTTGGTCTGCACCAAGGGAAACTGTGTGATGGAACGTTTCCAATGAGGAAGGGAAGGAAAACAATCTGAGCAGAGGAGAACACAGCAGTGATGGTTATTGCATGAAAGATGATTAAAGCAATTACTAATGCACTCTGTACTTAATGGATATCTGACTGTGACTGTCTCCCATTGATTCTCCCAGACAGTGGCAGTCAGAAACACTGCCAAGCACCTCCTTTTTTGTGCAATTTATTTCAATCTCATTATTTACTTCACTTTGTAAAATATGCTTCATATTTTACTGCTCAGAGAAAATGAAGAGGGTAATAAAAAGCTGGGGGTGAACAGCAGTGGTTTCCTCTGCTGAAGAAAGAGCTGTTGGAACTGGATATTGGACAAACCTCCTTAGCAATAAGGGCAGGTAGATCAATTTTTAAAAGGCTGGCAGTGAACACTCCATATCTCTAAATCTTGGAAGCTGGGTCTGGATGCCTTAGCTGAATATATACCCTGATGTAGCCTAAAACTTCTTAGATGTGGTGTAAGAATTACTGCATGATATTTTCTGATCTCTCTTATATGGAAGATCAAATCTGTTGATCGTACTGATCCCTTTGGGTCTTAAAATCTTCCAGCCTATTGCAAGGAAGATTGCTGCCATTTAACTGCTGTGCTTGGGGTACAGGTCCTGAGAGCTTCACACACCTCTGCTGGTTTGCCTTCAATTCCTGGAAGAAGTTGAGAATGACATTTAGTTGCTTCCCAACTGTATGGGTTTCATTTAATTCATATTTTTTCATTAAAATTTCTAGGTCTGTAGTTTTTGTTTTAATTATTTGCTATAAGACTTTATTTCAATTCTGCATCCTCTCACCTTACAGGATAGAAAACGAGGCCTGTGGACATTCATGCTCAACTCATTCCCAGGGATTAGGATTAAAACCACGTGAAGTTACTTTGCTTATTTGTATTTTTAATCCGAGCTGGGTACTACCACTAATACTCAGGTTTGTTTATTTTCTTTGTGGGGTTTTTATTTGTTTATTTGTTTGTTTTCTAGTGCCTTTAATACACCACACTTGAGCTATTGTTGAACCCCTTCACAGTTCATCAGTGCAGCACAGCTCCCTGCTGAATTGGGATGAGCTGGCGGAGTCAGCTGACAGAAGGAAGAGAGGAATCCGTTTGGCAGCAGCACAGACTTACTTTGGTTTAAGGTGAGAATGACCTAACATTTGTCATCTGTTGTTTATTCTGCTGGCCTCTGCTGTATGAGGAGATCTAGTTGTGGATGGCTCCATTGGAGCTTTTATTGTTAGTGCCGCTGTGTATTTATGGATTTGTTTGGCACTTTGTGGGGAAGGTGGAGAGGTTTATACAATGATCCTTGGATATGTTGTGTCTTCAGCGAGGAGAAGGTGCCTGGGGAGTGCTCACTCTCTGGGCTCAGCACGAACTCTACTCATGGTCGTGGGGCCAAATTCAGGTCTCAGGACCAACATCACTTTGCTGGTTTACCAGTCATCTAATATGTACCAGGTCATTACAGGCCAGTGAATTACATATACAAGCACCTTGGTGGAACCTTTTTTTTACAGGTATTTTGTGATAAACTGGTCAGTCTAAAATACCAAACTGACAAGGGGTTGGTTCAGACCATTAGGTAAGAGAGAAACTTCTCTTGAAGAAGCAGCAGGAATTTTTTTGGTTGAAAGCACAAGGCAAGATAAATACCACGTTACTTTTAGGGTCAACTGCCTCTGTGGACCCCTGTCAGGAGTGTTTCTAACATTTATGCATCCTGCACAATTTTGGACCAGAGATTTTTTTTTTTTTTTTGCTTTTTTTTGTCCTTAATCTTGCTGTTCAAAATAAACTGTAGCAAAATGGGGCAGCATTTTGATTGCTGTAATCATACCTACCACACTTAAGCGTTCTGAAGTGTTCTTCATCTCCTAATTTTCAGCTATCAGTAGCGTTTAGGACCCACTTTGCTTCCTCTTGAAATCACAGCTTCTGAGACAGAGCACCATGAGAGGTTGTCAGCAGCCTTTTCAACTCTGAACTCCTGGTTTTCTACACCTCAGTGATATTTTTTGTCTCTTCCTTTGGGGGAGAAGAGGACAGGAAGCTCTTTTGGATCATGATGACTCCTTGTTCTCTCCTGATTATGCTAAAATTTCAAGGATAGCATTAAGAAAAACACCCTAGAAAAGTATTGTGCTGATTCCTTTTCTAGTTTAAGGGGCACTAACTACTAATTGCCTTTGGAAAACCTAGCCTAAACTATTTTTTTTCTCTCCTCCTTTATTTTATCAACAAATTTAATTAAACTGACCACAAAAGAACCCAGAAATATGAATACCAAAGATATTGGATTTGTTGACAGATATGAATGTGTTAATTAGCCTTCAATTCAGCCACATTAAGAAAATGAAGTCTTTAGTACACATCTCTGTTGTTTTTTATTAAAACTGAGGAATTAGAAAAATAAAAACTGTCAAAGAATAGATAATAAAACTTTCAGCATATTGAGACAATATTGGTAAATCTTACTGATATGCTGCTTATAAAAAAAAGGAAATATAATGCTGAAATTCTAATGAGAATCTGCACTGTTGACTCTCCTAGCTATGGGAACAAAGCAATTTATACTCTTTTCTGGAGCTATTAAAATAGTTTCTTTTCTGTTGTATGGTTTTGCACTTATGGTTTTTTTCAAGTTCTGCTCCTGTGGGTCTGCTTTCTCCTTGTTTCTTATTGGAGTGATGAGGATCATTTGAGTCAAACCCATTAACTTTCACATGGTTTTCAATCAAGACCTTTGCAAAATGCCCAATTTCACAATGGCTTTAATGGAAAATATAGATTGCTTCGTATTTGATTTAGACCTCACCCCTCTGCTTGTTTTCTGTTTTTTCCTCTCAGGCTATGCAGCTTTGCATGATTTTTCTCAGTCTTTTCCTGGGATAAGCATGCATGTTGGACAATTGCTCTGCTTCTAATTATTTTTGCACTGCACTGAAAATCATTAATGTTATTTGTAGTGATGTACTTGCAGTTGATATCCTGGAAATTAAAACATTCAGTGGGAAATCCCGGCTATGCTGGAGTTAAGTTAAAATCCCCATTGAGTGAACGTTTTTTCCTATCTATCTAGGCATCCAGGTCTAAATATAATTAGACCCTGGTTTGTCTCCACCTCATCTTTAATAGAGATATTAACAATCTTTAATACAAACAGTAACTGTAGTTGTTATAGCTGATACAAACTGTTAGTTTACTCTTTCCAGGGAAATTCTCTGACATGGGATTCTCTCCTGATCCAGTCCAACTGAAGTGGAAGTGACAGCCCTGCCCAGTGATCTTATTTAAGGAATTGGAATGTCCTTTCTCACTGGTGTCAGAGCCAATTTCTGCCGAGGCAGTAAGAGTACCTACAGCCAGGAGAGTTTGATAGGGCCTGGCTTTCCTTAAAAGCATTTCTCAGGGTTGTTACTGTCTTTTACTATTGAGTGCATTCTGAAAATATACTTTTCTGGAGTATCCAGACACTGCAATATTTACCTAACTATTAAACTGAGAATATATAATATATGAGCAAGTGACAGTGTGTTTTTGATGGATAAAGTGGGCTTTTACTGCAGAAGAGGTGATTTCTCTTAAAGGTGTTGTCACTGCCTAAAAGGAAGAATAAACAGAATAAACAGACTGAGAAGTGGCTCTATAGGTATGATTTTTCTTCTGAAGTGATTTTGTTGTTCTTTTGGGCTGCAGGTGGAAGAAAGTGTTCACTCTTTCCAAGTGACCTAAAAGCATCTGGAAAAGTGAAGGTAATGGACTCCAGACCGAGTTTTTTTCAAAGGCTTTTACTGAATATGACAAATATTTGTGATTGCATCTCTCAAGCCTTATGAAAAAATGGAAACGTTTTAATTTATGTGATAGTTTTGCTCTCAGAGCTCTATTTCAAAGGAGCCCTAACACAGTAATGGGTAGGACTGGTGATGGGAGTGATTCACCCATCATGAGTTTTTGGAATGTAGTATTTGTGTGTAATTTATAAAAGTATGGTTTTCACTCACTAAAGACATGTCTTCCAGCTTAAATAGGTCTAATACACAACCACAATTCTCAGCCTCCCTACGACCAAACAGAGTTTGCTCATTGCATAGATTCAAAAGAAGGGGAATAGGAATTATTGTCTAAATATAAGAGAATTAAAGAATTTAAAAAATAATAAAAAATGAGAGAGAAAAAGAACCTAATATGGCCCAGGGGTCCTTCTTAATTTACAGAAGGCTTCTTCCATAGGCTCTTTTTGTGATGCTTTTCCTTCATTTTGACCTTCTAGATTTTGGCCCGAGAGCATCCTCAGTGCACAGTTGATAAAGTCACGCTCAGAGGAATGGTAGCTGGAGACAGCCTCAGTAGGAAAGCCCTTTTTCACTCACTTCCCAGTTTGTACTGGATGTCTTAAGAACATGATAGGGATTTCTTTTTCTTTTTTTTCCCCCAGTCATACCATGTTTCAAAAAGGCCAGCTTGGCTTCTTGGGTTTTCAAAAATGTGGGTTGTTGGGTTTGTTGTCTTTTTTCATTTCCCCAGTGAAAATCTGATGTCACAAATGCATTCAGAGCGTACACAAACCCTGAGAGAAAAGAGCAGATTTGTTTATTGAAAATCATCACCGTGTTACTTTTTGTGGCAGGGAAAGTGTAAAGGCAGAAAATTATTCAAACCCCATGTGCCCTGACTGCAAAGTGAATTTGTAGGAATCCAGAGCATAATAAGCCAATCAACTCGCTAGACAGTATTTTTAGTCTTTTGCTGGTTTATTTCATTATTTTCATTTAATCTCATTTCCAAGTCTCTCCAGCCTCTCAAAGTGAGCATATGGGCAGTATACAGATATCACAACAATGTCTTAATATCCAGCTGCTATTTGTGTGCAAATGGGGACTGGCTGCATGGCTGGCTGGAGTACCCTAAATGAACCTGCTGCTTCCAGAGAAATATTGCAGAATAATTTTAGTCAATTGCCTTTTAATTGGGACAGTTGCTGATCCCTAACATAGATTGTTGAGAAGTCACGATAGCAGAGAGAAAGCAGATTGAATTAATGGAAGTATGGAAACTGTTTAGAGGGGAGGAAAAGGAGCTCACACTTTCTTCTCTGCCTTTACAGATAGAGGATTGGGGTCACAAAAACTCCGTGTGGCTTTAGCATCCTTGAAAACGCCAGGAATGGAGTAATTGGATGACTGGTACAGGCTGTGGATGCAGCTCTTTCATCACTGCCCCCAGTGAATGGAATTCTTTCCCTTCTACATTTAAATCTAATACAGACCTTCAGATTTCGCTGTGGATGGTTTCACCTCTGAGCTGAGCAGCAGCCCGAGAGGTAAGGTTTGGATAATTGGAGCAAATCATTCAAAACCCTTTTCAAAGCAGTGCATTATGCATGAACCAGTTTTAAAAATGGACAATTATAAAGACACATCTTTTAAAAAGTGCTTTTGTAGTGAGTAAAACAAAGTGATTTCTTCATACTCCTGTGCAAAATGGGTGGCTACAAAGCATGTGCATAGATTTCTGGAGATAGAATACAAAGAGGATGATAATAATAACCTTTTTCTGTTGCCAGAGAGTCTGTACAAAGATTCCATCAGCATTTTGCACAGCATGATAAAAAATGTGTAAAATCCTCATCATCAATGGAGGTTCAAAGTGAAACAGAATCAAGCAGAATAAGGTGACCATAAAGAAAAGAAATAGCTAAATGATATTAAGGAAGCCAAGATAACTGAAAAAATTAACAGCACAATAGCTTATAGAATCTGCTTCTGCTAACAAAAGGCAATCTTTAGTGCCCAGTATCTCCATTCAGTCTGAAAAAGAAAGGTAGTTACATTCTGGAATGAACAAAAGGCAAGATGCAGTCAGGGACTTATTCTCGACTCCAAAACTGCCTTCGGCATCATTCCACATTGAGGTGTTGGCAGAGAGAGGAAGTCTCTCCTTTTATTGAGAGGTGAGAGTTCAAGGATCTTAACTTCAAAATTTAAATTATCAATGTAAAATCATGCTTTTCCTGTTTTGTTCATCTGTTGCTTCTCCGTGGGAATCATATTTTGGAGACTTTTTCCCATGGAGGACTCCTGCTTTGTATTTGTAGTTGAAACCAGATGAGACAAAAGTGTTTTGGGGTTGCTTTTTTTTATTTTGCTGTTTACAGCTACATATTTGCCTTCAAAAGCAAAGCTCAGAGGGTTGTATTAATTAGAAGTACTTCAAAAACTTGTATTTCAGAGCTCTTCAAGAGCCAGAATAATAAAGAACAGAATCGGAGAAAAGAAGGTTAAGGGAAGATGAGAAAAAAATTAATATATCTTTTTTAGACTTATATCTTATTCTCTTATGTACAAAGAAGCTTTAAATCAAGCAAATTAAACCTTAACATGGTTCACCTTTGAGCACAGGGCATAAGGGAGAGACACCTCCTGAGGTCACTCCACTGCTGCAGCAGCCCAGTAAGAGCCAAAGTAATTTTGTTTAAATTCAAAACAGGTTCTGGCAACACATGCCCATCTGCCACCCCTCTGGCTGAGAGTCAGGTCTGCAAAAGTAGTATAAAGATGCAACTCCTTGTCTGATTTTTTTTTTTGCCCCTTCAGGTGCCTCTAAGAGCTTTTCATCTGCCTGTATTAAGTTCTCCAACAACACAAGAAAATAGGTAATTAATGCAGGGGGACAGAGAGGCAGGTTAAAAGAAAGAGGGGAAAAGCCAGCAGTTTGTTGTTGGAGAATAGATGGAGATGGATGGAGGCTCTTGTGGAAGGGTCTGGGGGGGGAGGAGGATGTTACTGAGCTCAGGGTTGAAAGTCACTAATACTGGTTATCAATATAGTTAGTTAAATATTCTGATGGACCTTCAAATGTTTATGACAGTTCTGCAGTGTTTGCATCTGCCATGAAAATAATCATGCATTCCTGGGAACTGGTAAATGTACCAAAAAAGAAGCAGTCTCCTTCATTTATCTTGTTTTATGCTCATTGTAACTCATGTTACAACATGATGAATTAATTGTGTCTTACAGTGCTACAGGTTGACTGCATCAAATTGGATGAGTGTAAAATATCTCAGTGCAGTAATTACTATATGCTTCAAAAAGGCTTTTCTGCATATGACATGATGTATGTATGGCCATAAGTAAAGAAGAAAAAAGAATACTAACACATGACTTTTTTAAGGAGAAAAACTTACATGGGAAGCAGAATAACAGTTCTGATGGACAGGGAAAATATGGGACAAAAAATATACAGTCAGAAGTCAGTGTTGGGAAGTGAGAGAGGCAGAGAGGATGTAGCAAAGGTCTTGCAGATGTTGACTAATGGATGTTGAAAATTGAACCAGGTGTTATCTCCCAGAAGAAAGAAGCAAGTGTAGGTGTAAATATGCAATTTTTGAACTTGAAGCAATTAGAGTTTTAAGTTAAAACTGAATAATATCGCTGTGGAACATTTAGCAGGAATTGGTGTGCATACAAGTTCAGCCTTGCATGGACAGAAAAAGATAGAATAAGAGGAATAAAGAAGACTGTCTTTTTTAAGCATTTGGGTTGCACTTTGTGGTGTTGGAGAACACAAATAAAGAAGGGATTTCAAGGAATCATTATGATTAAATGAATGAAAATAGTATGGTAGGATTCTGATTTGCAGCTTAAATAATATTAAAACTGAAACAAGAAATATGAAACTGTGAAGGCAGGGGAGGTTGTTTGTCAGGGTTTTTTTGTTTGGTTTAGAAAGGATACTTTTTTTCCCACAGTTTGGGCTACAGATGGGTCTCATGGGATTTGCTTTCCAACATAAGGGAGATATTCAGGCTTTCAGATTTCATTACCACTTTCTTCATTATTGTGCCTTGAGGAGCTATAAATAACACATGGCTAATTTGTGAATATGGCACATTCCAGGGGATGTGTGTATTTTAATCAGGGCACCTTCTGACATTTGGTAATTGGTTTACAAATTTGTTATATAATTTCATGAGTATTAAGTTGCTAGGAGGAAAAAAAATCTAAATTTACGTGGTCTAAAATCTGCCGTCATTGGACCCCCACAGCAGCTGGTGCTCCTGCTAGGTCTAACTGAGGACAGGTTTTGAGTCAACAAGTACATAAACTGGCACCATTTCTTTATTTCTTATAGGTTTAGTAAAGTAATTAGTAGCTACATTCTTCATTACATCCTTTTTTTAATTAAAGCTTTTTTATGTGTTTATGCATATATCACTAAACTGCTTTTAAGACGCAGGTAAGTTTTGTCTGGTGAGAACCCGGGTTTTGTGTTGGAAGGTGCATATTTGTAATTGGAGTATTTTTTTTTAGGTCTGTTTGTAGGAACAAGTGTCACCAGTGGCCAAATTGTGAGCTTGGATGCTGCCAAAGTCAGTTCTGAGGCTGTTTTGTGTAACACTGTTCTCCTGCAGCTGGGACATCCAGTCCCTGGAAATGGGCTGGCTTATGTCTGAAATAATACACATATGACATGGATTAATATGGAATGTAATCGCCCATTTTTTGTATTACTGCAATCAAAAGTACGGACACACTGAAAACTCATCTCATTTAAAATCTTAATTATTGACTATTAGTTTTCTCTTTTGCACAAAACAAGACATACCTGGCTGTGTTTCCAAACTTTCCTTACTTCTCTGGCTATGCTTATCGCCACACAGCATTTAGTGTGTTAATTAATTGTTAACGAACGAATATTTCAGCTATAGACTACAGTGCTGTGCTTGTTCATTTATATTATTACTCATTCGATAAAGGCAATATGTGCCAAACAGCAGGATCCGATGGGAACATCTGCTAGTGAGCAGCCACAGGCAGGAGAGCAGCTCACAGGAAGAAATCCACACCAGTAATTTACTGAATTTTAATTTTACTTACTCATTTTAGGGCAGGCTGTGGGTCATTTTGTGACAGGCCATGGGGTCGGTCACTGCCATTTTGGGTAAAGGCATGGGGGGGGTGTCTGTCCACCATTTTGGGTAAGAGCATGGGGGGGGGGCATCCGCCATTTTGGGTAAGGGTGTGGGGTCAGTCACCATTTTGTGACAGGCTATGGGTCACTCCGCCATTTTGTGACAGCCCATGAGCCAGGTCCACCATTTTGTGTCAGGCCATGAGTCAGTCACCACCATTTTGAGACAGGCCATGGGGGCACTCCACCATTTTGTGATAAGCCATGGGACAGTCTGCCATTGTGGGGTAGTCAGTGAGGTCAGTCCACCATTTTATGACAGGCCATGGAGTCACTCCCCCATTTTGTGACAGCCTGTGGGGTCAGCTGCTCTCCTTCCAGTGTGGACCAGAGGCTGACTAAAGCTCAAGGGGATGGGGGTGGAGCAGTGGCCATCCCTTCTACACAGAGTTTGCCCAGTTCCCCTCTACGTCTTACCTCGTTGTTTTGAGCCAACCAAGCATTCCTCCAGTATCCTACAGTTGTGGTGCAGGAAGCCACTCACAGATAGATAATTTAAACATCTGGACTGGCAGGGAACACCACTCGTTCTGTCTCCCTGTGTCCCACTAATTTAGGGCAGAACCGATTTAAAGCATAGCTACAAAACATATTGAGGTGTCTCATAAGAGTTAGAACATCCCAGAAATGCTTCTTTGGCTTCCTTTGGCACTGAATCCATGTTTTTGCTTCCAGAGTAATCTAAAACATTTACAAGTGTGTTGTATTACAGCCCCCTTAAGTCTTTGGACTTGAATCCTGGCTTGTTAGCAACAAATAATGTGGCCTAGAAACTAAAACAAGGTTCACAAGCTCTTGGAAGCTGCATAGGAATGCGTGGGCACGAGGGACTTGTACCCTCCATGTTGTGAGCTGTGGGTAACTGGTAAGATCAGACAGTTGAGGGGGAAAAAAAGATCGGCCCTGAACTGGAATTCTGAGGACTTCTATGCTTGTCTTACATTTTTCAAGTTCTTCTACACATAACCAATGCAATATTAGCATTTTTAGACAGATGATGAGTAAAAAAAGTAGTGTAAGAGTCCACTAAAAGCCTTTGTGATTTCTTCTCCCTAATTCTACTCCATTTTTGTTGCAGCAAGGATCCTATCAGCCCAAGCCGCAGCACTGGCTATGAAGGTGAAATTTGTCTGGCCAGCCAAGTGTCCCTGCTGTCCATGCACAGCAGCAGATAGGGCACTTGCTGCCCCATATGCCGAGGAGCACAGCTGCCTGTGGTATGTCTTGACATTAAAAATGCCAAGCACCTGCGACAGGTTTTGGCATCTGTCACTGCAGCATGAACTGAGGCAGCTTGGGCTGTACAAGGCTGGCTCAAACCAGGCAAGGTACCAAAAGTTTTGCCTTTCTGTTTCAGAGCTTCACCTCTGCTGGCATACGGAAAACCCTCTGAGGCTCCAGGTGCTGTGGAGCTTGTATTTGCCTTCTGCAAAGTGCTTCTGGAATTTTAGGATGATTTACATCAACGTATCCTGTGCCACTGCGCCAGGAGGAGTGATGAGGGTGCCTGAAACACTCTGCAGGGACAAGGACACAAGAGAACCACACTCAGAAACCAGGAGGAGAGTCCCCACGAGGAAGGTGAGTGACTGCAATACCATGTCATGTTGCCCAAGAAAAGTCACAATTACTTTCATGGTGCTTGGTGGAGATTCTTGTACGTGGCTGAAGCCTGAGGCTTGGGAACAAATAGGGAAGGGGTATTTCTGCAGAATCTGGTGGATAACAGCTCCTGTGCTCCTGCTGAGCCAAAGTCCTGGCCTCTCCTGTTGAATTCTGGAGCCAGCCCCTACTCCCTTGGACTCAAGTGTGGTACAGCCTTGCCAGCAACCCTAGTGGTGCTCTTTGTCAGGGATCTGGATGGGTTTTTCCTTTTTTCTTTTTTTTTTTTTTTGTGCATCACAAGGCTGCTTAAACAAATTACTTTTGAGAATTATAATCTTCCTTACAAGAATTGCTTCTCTGTAGTGAGAAGCAACTCATTGTGAAGTGAGTGACAACTCATTTAAGAAACTATAGTAATTTCTTACTTGCAGGAAACAGTGTGTCCCGTCTTTGTTAGCTGTGGTATTTATCAGCTTGAGTTTCATACAGACTCCCTTCCTTCAGTCTGGGTTTTTCTTGAGAAAAAGACAATATTTATAATAGTGTTTTAGAAATAGGTTTTGTCAGTTCGTGGGATCTTTGAGGTTGTCCAGGCAGTCACTGGTGGGTTGTACTGGGCTGGATTCATCTATGCAATACTGTAACTTCAAATATTGTGGTTTTTTTAGTGTATATGGCCATAAAATAGAGACTTTGCCATAAAGTAGATTAAGGAAGATCTTTGATGCTTTCACTCAAAGCACAGCTCTTCCAGAAGGTGAGCATTAACAAGATGGTGGTGTCACATTTTCATGACAAGGTTCTGACTGAGCAGATCATTAGAGAGAAAAGGATCAAAGCCACTTCCACACGTTACATTTTGGGTGGACATGAGTGTGTCACTGGCAAAAAAGCTTGAGTAGCGAACTTCACAGGAGGGGAAGCTCACTCCTCCTACCTTTCTCTCCTTTGCAATTTCCTTTCTGTGAGTCATAAACTTCTGGAATTTCAAAGCCCTGATGTTTTAATCCAACTGCAAGGGCTGATATAACTACGATAAGAGACTTAGACATCAGAAAAGTTGTTGGGTCTCCTTCATCACTAGTGGACAAAACCCAAATACCCTGTTAAATCATAAAGTGTTTATTTCTTACTGTCTCGCCAGTAATCTCCTTGGTCTGAAATTGCCTTTTTTTTTAGTAAGGGTTACTTATCTAACAAATCTGAATAAATTTACTAAGCACAGAACAAAAATTTCTAGCCAGTGCAGTAAACCGGGAAGTTTTACTTTCTAATTTTTAGTAGATTAGATTTCTAATTAATTTAATTCTAATTTATTAATTTAACTAAAATGTTTAAATTTTACTAAATTGGAAAGCTACTTAATTCTCTAAACCTTCAATCTTTCTCTGCCCTGTATCTACTGGTGGGACGTTTGGTGCTTTCTTCCAGGGGTATGGAATACACAACCTAGAGCCCAGTGGCACAGGGAGCTGTTAGATCCTGATCTCAGGGTCTACTGCAGGCAAGAAAGGCACTTCCACTGCTTGATAAAGTCTATTGAATGTGTTGAATTGCCATTAATCATGTTCATCTCTGAGTGGGGACAAGCTCCTTGAATATCTCCAGGAAAGCGAGCAAGAGCCACACCAAAGTTGTCTTCTACAACAGGATTGTAAGATGTGTAGCCAAAGTGCTTCTCAAACTTTTTACAGATACTCCAGCACATTTGGAGCATTTGACAGAAAAGAATAGGCAAGGGCAACAATGATTGATCCATGTTTTTAAGAAAAAAATTGGAGCCATATTTCCAGCGGGGGCTTCAGAGGGGCATTGATATATTTATCGCAAAAGAGCTGACGAGCGCCAGCCTTTGCATCACTAAAAATGTAGCCTGCTGCAAGAATTTACAGCTGGAAGGGAAGATTCATGGCCCCTCTCTTTATTTATTGGAAAAATCTCTCGCAGCTGAGTAAAGACATAAATATAAAATTAAATCACAAAAACTACTCTGAAGTAGTGCTAAGGTTACTTCTTGAACCTACAGGACCAGGACAATGTAAAACTGATGTCGAAACACAATTGAGATGAACAGTGTTCACTCATTCATTATGACAAACACCACTTTACAGCTAATATGTAAAATCACAGATTATTTGAGAGTTTTTGCTGTATTCTTGTATGCAATGCTTAACAGAGGGACTCAAGGACAGCACGTTAGATAAAGGTACATCCATGAATTTCTGTCCTTATGATTTATAGCTTTCATGTCACTGTAAAATTATTTTTATAGTTCATTTTACCAGTGCATGGTGCAAGAGAACTTTATATGCTTTTGAAAAATAGCTTCATAAACAACAACAGGTTTTGATATAAGTTCTTTGAGTGCATAGATATGGGTGTGAATGCATGGATTAGGTTAATATTATTTGTCCTTTTTAGGTCACTGCAGATATTTTAAGTGGCCTCAGCTCCATGGGCCAAGGAGCGTAGGAGACAGAGCAGGTTCCTCCCTTTAGCAGCCGGGAGAAAGGGGGCAAAAGACAACCCACCCCCAAGAAAAATTAGTGTTAATGTATTATTTTGGGTAAGACAGTCCATAATCTCTACATAGTGAGTTTTCATCTCTAGATCTTCCAGCTCTTTATCTCAATTTTGCAGGTTGCAAAACTGATTAATTACACTAGCAACATCACTATAATTAGTGCTGATTATTCTCTGAGCTTTTTCTTCTTTAATCATCTGTTTAATTTGAACTAAATCCCTATTTATCAAATAGTCTAGGTTTTAGCATCAGAAGACAGTGGATTTTGCTTAAGTCTTTCCACCTTGAACTCAGGTATTGTTATAAAAGCTTCGGGAATACTTCAGTGGGATTATAACGATTATAACTAGATCAGGATTTGGCATTTTTTAAATATCTGGTCATCTGCCAAATGTTTTGATGGTATAGCTAGCACTTTGTTTAAAAACCTAGGAAAAAGAGATGAAAAATAACATCCTGGAGACTCTCATAAATTCCCTGCCATATTTACACCATTACTCCATAACAGAATCTATGTTAAGCCATGAGGGAGAACAGTTTGTCGGCCAACCCGGAGAAGTTTGAATTGTCTTTAATCAAGAGCTGTCAGGATAAAAGAAAATGCGTGGAAGCAATCTGTGGCTGTTTTTCAAAACAGAAATGAAACAAAATCTGAAGAAATAAGGACTGTACAGCACTTGTACATGATGTGCTCTTTGTATTATCAAAGCCTGGTTTATGTTGACATATTGTACTGTGACAGGAGAAAAGAAAAAATAAGTAAAACTTACAGCTGAGGTGGAATGATGTAAGAGAGGGAAGCAATACTTGCTTCACCTCAAATCTTTCAGTAGGTCTGGAGCTGATAGTTCTTCTCCTTCATTAACACCTCTCTGTTGGGCCTTCTCTCTCCTTTCATGTCCCCCCAAACCACTGTAAAAATAATTACTAATGATGATGAATAGGTTTTTTCTATTTTCAGTTTTCTCTATATGAAAATCTTTATCATTCTCTAACTACTTGAAAAGTCAGTGTAATCCTCTGTAATTCATGAGCTCGGAGCATTTTGCCCATTAGGATCTTTTTTTTTTCCATCATTTTTTTTTAGCTGCAGCACCTCTTCTCAAAGTGAAAAGAAGCATAAGGGAAAAAAGTCACCTCTTGGTCCTATCCTAAACCCCTGCTTAGGTAAGAGACTTGCTGCACATCTTCTGTAATGGTTTGTCATACTTGATTGGAACAGGAGATACTGGGGCTGTGCCAGGCATATTTCTGTTTGGTTAAGTTATTCCCATGATTCTACCACTAAAGATGTGCTTAATCTTTCCTCTGTTTAAAAAAGAAATAATTTTTTACGTGGTGACTCATTTCCTTGTTTTAGCATTACCATATGCTGTTTATTGCTTATTTAAATTACATTAATGTAAAACGCTGAAGTTTGATTTCAGTGACATTATTGAGTGGGGGGTGGTGCATCAATTGTAATATGTGATGTTTAACTGCAGTCACTGCAGATTTAGCATGTATTAACTTTTATTAGAGGTGAAATACTTGCCTGGTGAGCAAGTTTATGGTGAGAAGGAAGTGCTCATTTTCCAGTCATGATCTTGTGCTCTTTTCTTTCTAATTTTCCATGACTCTAAAACTTCATTCCTTCTTTGGTATAAGTGCAGACTAAAAACCCAAGCAGTTTCTGCTGTGATTCTTTCCCATTGCAATCCTGATTCTGAAGTTCAGGTTCAGTTTTCAGACTAATGGTCTCTCATCAGGTCACTGCAGAGAAAACAGAAAACAGTGAGAGAGGAAAACAAACAGGAGATGGTACATATGTAGCTTTTTTTTTTCCCCTCTCTTGACCTTCCATGTCTAAGATGTTGGTGTATTTTAAAGGACAAGCTGCAGGAGGCACCTAAAATGACATCATATATTCTATTAGCCTTTAATGTAATTTTTCTAATATTTCTAACCTTTCCAATTGCAGTAAATCTACCTGGGTTTTGTTGTGTTTTGGTTTGGGTTTTTTTTATTAAATTTTAAGTACAACCATATTAACCTCTTTGGTTCTATTTGTTCTTCCTACAAATGCCCTGTCGTGGCTGCCTCTTCTTACTTATTCCTACAGCTAGTGTCTCATGAAACATAGGCAATACCCTCCATAGGGAGTCTTAAAACACAAATATACTGGTTTTTAATGGGGTGTTCTTCAGTATCAGCTGTGAAGTGGAAGCACGGGAGGAAGAAAAACAGTGATATTAATCTATCAGCCTAGGAAAGGCAAAAATAAGAAAAGTATTGATTTTTTTAAACATCATTAGGATCAGCAATGCATCACTTCCTTGTGAGAAATGACCCATCCTCCTCCTTTCCAATGCTGTTGCTTTTGTAATGAGTTTTTATTAGGTAACCTATTTTCTGTAAATTATAGCCTGGACTTCTCAACAGACATCAAACCATCTTCTCAGTAAGAATACTT